GAATCATTGAGGGAGACAAACCATATGAGAGACTCTTGATTCTGGGAAACAAACTGAGGGTTGCGGAAAGGGAGGTGGGTGGGGGGCTGGGAAAACTGGGTGATGGGAATTAAAAAGGACATGTGATATAATGAGCACAGTGTGTTATATTTAACTAATGAATCATTGAATATTATGTCAAAAACTAAAATGTACTGTACCTTGGCTAATCAAATTTAAGTTAAAAAAGATGAAAATAATACAACATATCAAAATTTGTGACATGCAGATAATGCAGTGCCTAGAAGAGAAATTTATAAATGCTAAATGCTTACATTAGAAAAAGGGAAATGTCTGAAATTGTTAATCTAACCTCCTACCTCAAGAAGTTTTAAAAAGAGGAAAATACACTCAGCAATCAGAAGTAAGGTAATAATGACAAAAATAACATCAATAAATTCTAAAACAAATACAATAGATAATATGAAAAATGATAAAACTTTAAAAAGGAAATAAAATCCATGATTAAATGAAATAAGCTGTATTTATCAATGGTTTATAATAAAGAATTTATTTTCACCCCAAATATTTGATTCGATGTAATAAAGTTAGAATAGAACCATAATTTTTAAAAAGATTTTATTTATTTATTTGACAGACAGAGATCACAAGTAGGCAGAGAGGCAGGCAGAGAGAGAGGGAAGCAGGCTTCCTGCTGAACAGAGAGCCCCATGTGGGGCTTGATCCCAGGACCCCAAGATTATGACCTGAGCCAAAGGCAGAAGCTTTAACCCAATGAGCCACCCAGGCGCCCCAAACCATAATTTAAGATGAAGATGTTGATTCTCAAATTCACAAGGAAGTGAAGTTTTTCTTAAAGATTTATTTATTCATTTTTGAGACACAGAGAGAGAAGGTGCATGCACATGGGATGGGGAGGGGCAGAGGGAAAGAAGCTTCAAGAAGACTCCCCACTGAACTCGGAGTCCCACACAGGGTTTGGGTCAGAGCTCTATCTCAGGACCCCAAGATCATGACCTGAGCCAAAATCAAGAGTTGGATGCTTAACCGACTGAGCCAGGTGCCCTGGAAGTGAAATTTTTCAAAGGGAAATAAGAACTCTCTCTCTCTCTTTTTTTTTTTTTTTTGCAGGAAGAAATGAACAAGGGAAGATATGGAAAAAGTAATATACCACGACATTGTCTAAAGTTTGTTAAGGGAGGAAAAATCCAAACAAATTGAAGAGGGATATGGAGGTTCCAGAAGCAACCCCTTGTATATATGGAAGTTTAGTATTTGATAAATTTAGCATTTCAAGTAAGTTGGAAAGTGATTATTTAAAATTGAGGAGAATATATTGCATCTTTTAAAAATTGACTAATGTCTGCATTCAGAAAAAGTTTTATTTTATTTATTTTTATTTTTTAAAAAGATTTTATTTATTTATTTAATAGAGAGAGAGACAGCGAGAGAAGGAATACAAGCAGGGGGAATGGGAGAGGGAGAAGCAGTCTTCCGGTTGAGCCGGGAGCCTGATTGGGGGCTGGACCCCAGGACTCCGGGATCATGACCTGAGCTGAAGGCAGACGTTTAATGACTGAGCCACCCAGGCGCCCCCAGAAAAAGTTTTAAAACTAAAATTTAAATTTAACAACTTTACTAAAATAGTTCAAATACAACATGGAAAAATCATGTATAAGTTAGATTTTTTTCACCCAAATGTGAATCTTTATACTGTCAGTTGATCAGGCAAAACATAGAAGGTACATAAAGGGTGGTCTGAAAAGTTCTTAGTTAGGAAATGAGTTTTCCAGGGTAGAGGAGTGGCTGAAGCAATAGGGTACATACTTACTGTGTATTCAGTGGTGGAAGACATAGCTAGCTATAGCAGCAAATCCTCAAGGATAGCGTTAATAGGAGATGGAACAGCAACCATGAGTCTTGATCTTTGAGGGTAGGTGTAGACAGGGACTCTTAAAAAGGGAGGGGATAATCTGTTGATAGAGGCAAAATAGTTTTGATTGCTTCTTAATATCTGAATGAAAAAACATATAATGTTATATATCTGAGTGGTTTATTGTTCAAAAGCCTAAAAATGTGTTGGAGACTTAAGAGAGAAACCCTGAATGCCTATTTCCCCTGGGGCCCATTTTAATCCATAAAGCTCTTAAAGAGTAACTGGGGTGGAGGCTTCAGGGGCCTTCTTGGACAACACCACCAGAGGGAATGCGGACCCCCAGTTCTGCTCTCAAGATCCAGCACAGGGGAGCATCTGCATAGACCTTCAGCCAGGGAGGGAACAAGATGACACCTTGAGGGGTGGGATGTGGGTAGAGGTGCTTGGTACCAGGAACTCACCTTTCCATCCTGCCAGCCATGACCTGGGGTATGGACGTGACAGATTGCTAGGTTTCCTACACCTAACAACCTGTTCCTGCCCAGGAAGGTACCCCTCCTCGTTTCCTGCCTTCCCCCACCTTCTCCCCACCCCACATAGGAAGGGGTAAGGGGTGTGGGACTGCCCTGGTGGGATCACAGTTGTGGCTTGGCCTGGACTGACCTGTCCTGGGCTGGCCTGTGTTACCTTAGGGTACCCTGTGGTGAATGGCCAGAGGTGTTAGAAATAAGGGTTGAGCCAATGTTGACGGCGACTGATAAGGCTCTCACTCTTGGGTCTCCTGAGGCCAGAGCCTCGGAAAATAGGGATACAATAGGATCGAATATTGCTCTGTTGAGCATCTCTGGTCAAGTGAGTTGGATGAGGGGCTGTCTCTAGAATGTGGGTGCCTGATGATCAGAATTCTGTTGGATTCTGTCACCAATGAAGTTAGGTCACTTTTTCAAAGCTCCATTTCCTGAACCCCCTCTGTCATTGACACCACCCAAATTCTCCACTAGACTGTTGACTGTTCCCCCTCCTTGGCCATGTCATCTCCATAACTACACAAATGTCCACCCCACCACTGACTGGGAATGTAACCAGGGTCCCAGCTTGGAGGAGTCAGAGCTGAGTTCAGTCATCTTTTTTCTCTCTCAGTTCCCTGTTCTGGAAAAGCCTTTGTGCCACTGAGGTCTCTCCAGTCTCCCAACTTGCACAATGGGGTATGAACTTGTATGAACATACTTTGAACTAGTATGAACTAGTAACTACTTCCCTCTGACATCACCAGGTGATGAGATTATATCTGCAACACCGGTGGGGTGGTGACACATGTATCTGATGAAGAAACTAAGAGGTGAGAATTACAAGAAGGGGATATAGCACAGGATACCACTCAAAACAGGCTTGGGGTCCAGCTCTATCATTTACTAGGTGTTAGACTTTGGACAAATTACTTACCTTGTCTGTGCCTCAGTTTCTCTGTCTGTCATTGGCAATAACAAGTGTACCTACTTTGTAAGGTCATGGAGAGTTATTAAAGGAGTTAGTGTTTGAAAATGCTTGGAACATCTAACGTATTTCAAGTGTTGTATCTGTATATTATAAACAAAATTTACAAATTCTTCTGGCAGAAGCAGCTCCAGAGGGCAAGAACTAGTGCCTTGATGTAAATAGAAATTACTCCACAACAGAGGGTAGATATATGAATGAATAATGTTTATGAATGCATTACCTGTGTCACACATCCTCTTACTGATATTCCCAAGCAAAATCATATCCAAACATACCTGCTCTGTCTGGCATCCTTTTCTTTGATTCTATCCAGGAATCACTGGGGTTTCTTGGACCTTGTTAACCTTGCACACTATAGATTTTCTTCTCTGTGTCAGCAGATCCTAGTCCATGTCCAATCCCTGCAGCTCCCAGAGCCTGCACCCTGATCTTTCTCTTAATCTGGGAGAGAAGGGTCACCCCCAGAGCTTGGCACATGGAGCATGAACCTTGGAGAAAATGGTTCCTTACCCTGTAGCAGATAGGAGAATGTAGTGACGGGGTGGGTTGTTGGCAAAAATCCTCCAGCTGTTGTCAGAGGGATGGAGCCAGGGGATTTGCCAGCAACAGCTGGTCTGGTTGACGGGCCTTGGTGGTTAAATAGTTGGGAGGGCTGGCATGTTTCAGAAGGCCTAAGGTAATAGGATCAATATCATGGACATGCAATCAGAATCAGCCAATGAGGCCATGTTAATCCAATCTCTTCTGTTCCCTGACTGACTCACAAATCCCGTAGTGATTTGATAATAATGATATTTGTGTTCTATCCTCTTATTTTCATTTATTGGGCAGAGTGATTATTAGTTACATTTCCTGTGTATTTTTAAAATGACTTTCCCTGAAGTTGTTTCCAAAACAAATTGAATTTATAATAGAACCCAAGGATGGGCAACTCACAAAAAAAATCTTGATGCATAATCTCTGGTTTGGCTCTTTCTAACTGGTAAATTTTATGGACTTCCGAATTCTCTCTTGAGATCAAGTCTAGTTTGGACTCTGTGGGAGTGTGACCTCACGGCATTTGAGAAGTAATGGTGGTACTCTGGGATGACGTGTACTTGACTGTGTGTGTGTGCTGAATCTGCTGTGGTGTTGAAGTAGACTCTTGTCCTTGGGAGAATTTCCCCAGACATTTTGCTTTGGGCTTTATTTTTATACACGGCTTTATCAGTGCTGTCAATAGGACCACTAAATGCTCTATAACATGGATTTTTTTTTTTAATTTAGTAGCCACCTTTAAAGAGATTTTTAAAAGGTATAAAATGAATTTTAATAGTATATTTTAAAAAATTATAACCAAGATATTTTTACCGGTGCTTGCAATCAATGTAAAAATTAATAGAGATAGTTTATGTTTTTCATGTGTGCTGAATATCAGAAATTCAGCATTTTCCATTGATAACGCAGTCTCATTTTTTAAGTTGAATCTTGTCGGATGTATCTGCTTTGTATTTAGATTGTATAGAAGTTTTCAACTTAAAGATCTTGTCATGTGAATACTGAAAAGTTCCTCCTGGGTCTAGTAACAAAGGAGTCATTGTGACCTTAACAGGGAAGAACCCACAGAATGGTGACAGCAGATGGAAGAGTCGGGTCGTCTGAGGAGGTGCTTGAAGATGAGGCCCCAGAGGCACAGGATAGAGATGATCTTTTCTCCATGACTCACAATGAAAGGGAAGGAGTAGAAAGAGCCATTTCTCTGTGAAGTATCAGGCAAGTTAAGGGAACTTGGATAGGTATGAGGTAAAAAGAAAAGTAGGGAATGTTTGAAGCAAGTTTTGTGAAAAGCCAAGGAGTAAATATGCTGACACATAAAAAACAGAGTAAAATTCCAGGCATTATGGATGCTTTGCAGTGGAAGCGGTTGATTCTGGATTTATAGTGATTACCAAAGTATGTGTGCTCTCCTCACCAGTTATCCTAAGACTAGCAATAGCTATGGCATGGTGGATAACCAGGGTCTTCCAGATTTGAAATTTTACAAGGCAGATATGATACGTGTTAAGGAATTCTGGATTATTCCAAGGGAATTATTGAGATCATAGACTATGGAATCCAGAATTGATAGGAATAGGAGAGAAAGTAAGGTGAGGATATGGTGATCTGGCATCACTTCCAATCTTGAGGGACAGGTAACATTGTATAAGGTAATTATTGTAGAAGTATACAATATTGCATATTGTATTTTTTGAGTGAAAACTGAAAATCAGGAATTTGTAGTAGGTGAATATGTTTTCTGAATTATTTATTTTTGACCATGACATTGTTGGTTGATGTGAATGTCTGGGATATGGGAGTGAGTTGTTAAGAGTGGGGCAGATGATAATTACACTATTGGTTTAAGCTCTGAACACCAAGTGGTCAACAGGTAGACCAAATGAATAGTCACCTAACACAGACGGGTGGTGGGGCTGGAGATTTAGAAAAACACTGGGCACCATGGATCTAGGGGTAGGGGGGAAAAACAGGAATTGTATGGTTAAGAGTGACAAGGACAAGTGAGAATAAATCATAAAAGAGAGGATCTTGTGGCTCTGTGGGTTAAAGCCTCTGCCTTCAGCTCAGGTCATGATCTCAGGGTCCTGGGATCAAGCCCTGCATTAGGCTCTCTGCTCAGCAGGGAGCCTGCTTCCTCCCTCTTTCTGCTTGCCTCTCGGCCTACTTGTGATCTCCATCTGTCAAATAAATAAGTAAAATCTTTAACAACAACAACAACAACAAAAAGATGGTGAAGGGGAAATGATCTGGGGTAGGTCCTGAATTTTGATCTTGAACTTTCTGGTTTTCACCCAAATCTATTTGATGACATCCCCAGAAGTAGAGAAGGAAGGTAGAAGTAGAAGGTAACCAATACGGTGTTCCTAAGAAGGCAGCCTCTTAAAACATTTTAAACCAATCTCATGATTTATGTTTATAGGGTAAAAGGAAAAGAAGTATGATGGTCAAGACTCCACAGAGGAAGCAGCAGGATTGTGGAAACCAATCCAAACCAATGTCTTGCTTAAGTGTCTCAATCCCTTTGAGGATGTCCAGTCACATATTCAAGAGGCCAGTAACCAGAATCACATCCTATCCTGTAAATGAGGTCAGATGCCATCACTGGGAGGAAACCCTGAACAAGCCCCAGCAGATGTGCTGGCAGAAGAGGCTGCAAGGTCTCCAGGCTTATAGCAGTGCAGGGGAACTCTTAAGCACGTTGGATCTTGACAAAGCCTTGCAAAAACTTGTTCCTAGGTGCTCAAGTGAATATCTGCCAGGTGTTCTTGTAGGTGGTCTGAACCCCAGCCCCACGCCCACCCCTGCTGGGTCTTCAGATTTGGTAAAGGTGATTCCAGGAGCTGGTCTGGGTATCCCACAGCTTCTGTGCAAACAGTTTCTGGTGACTGAGGAAGATATCAGGAAACAGGAAAGGAAAGTGAAGATAGCGAGAGAAAGGTTGGCCATGGCACTGGCTGTAGACAGACTTGCTAGAGAGGCAGAGAAAATGAGGGGCCAAGAAGCACATCCCGAAAAACACCATGAGAAAAAAGAGAAGCTAGTGCAGGTGAAATGGAGCATGGGACTTTATTAAGGTCTCTTTGCAGTGCCCATGGTGCCTTCATATGCTCCTGAGCCCTCGAAACTTTAATATGTACTGGTACTTTGCTTATATTAAATTATTTTGTGTGACATAGACAATAGACACAGTGATCTTTTTGAGCTGCGAGATTGGGTTTCAGGTGAGGAAAGAAAGGAGGTCTTTCCTTTCCATGAGGTACTGTTATCTTCTCTTACTCTGTACGTTATTTGCATTTTAAAGTCAAAAGAGAGTGATCAAAGTCATGGCATTATTTAGTGTTCTGCCTTCACAGTCAGAGTAAAACATGCCTGGTTGAAATGGACTATTCTTTTTGTGTTAAGATTCCAACAGATTCCAACATAATTTTTTTTTATGTTCTCAAAGAAGATGTATGTTTGTAGGTCTCTATTTTTCTGTTCTTTGTTGCATGTTAATTCAGAATTCAGTACAAGGAAATACCAGACTTTTCACTTTTCAAAATATCTCTGTGTGTTGGAAATCTGATTCCCAAAAATGGATGTGCCATTTTGGGGATCCTGATGTCAAAAGAGACTGTTTTCAGTATTAATCTATCACTGAACCACACTGCTCATTGGGATTTAATTGTCAATTTGCTTGAGCAAACTGTGGTAATATTTAAAGCCTTTTCATCATTACTTAACTTTTGTCTCATGGGTTCATCAGTTTCTGAGAATGAGTTTTTAAAAAATAATATTTGTAGTATTTCTATCTTACCTAAAAATGAGTTATTTTATTTTATTGTTTTTTACTATGTTATGTTAGTCACCATACAGTATGTCATTAGTTTTTGATGTAGTATTCCAAGATTCATTGTTTACATATAACACCCAGTGCTCCATGCGATACGTGCTCTCCTTAATACCCATCACCAGGCCAACCCATCCCCCCACCCTCCTACTCTCTAAAACCCTCAGTTTGTTTCTCAGAGTCCACAGTCTCTCATGATTCATTTCCCCCTCTGATTTTTACCCCCCTTCATTTTCCCCTTCCTTCTCCTATTGTTCTCCATGCTATTCCTTATCTTCCAAAAGTAAGTGAAACCATATGATAATTGACTTCCTCTGCTTGACTTATTTCACTCAGCATAATCTCCTCCAGTCCCGTCCATACTGATGCAAAAGTTGGTTATTCATCCTTTCTGATGGCTCAGTAATATCCCATCCTCTCTTCTTCCATGAGGCACTCATCTGGAATTTTAGAATGTTCTTTAACACCTTGTTTGAAGACTAATTCTGATTTAGATACACTGAATTTTTTCTTTCCCTCATCACTCCTGTTACATTTTTCTGGGTTCACATTTCTGCTTCCTGATGTACATCCTTGACTGGTTCTTTCACTGAAGGCCTCTGGCAGGGCAATGTTGAGTCTGTCCGTATTTCAGAAAGTGTTTTTACCTTTTTCTTCAACAGATAGTGTGGTGAGGTGTTTAACTTAGGTTCTTAGTAAATTTTTTCCTTCCTGGTTATTTAGTATCTCTGAGCCTCTGTATCATTAGCTATAAAATGGGAATGCAGCTCTCAAGGATGGTGAGTGTTAGCTGAGACAATGCATGCAGAGGCTAGAGACTGAGAAGGCAGCTGGGAAAGGTTGCCACTCATGTTGCTTAGGAGATATTAAGGAATCAATAATGATATAGCTCTTGTTATCATTATTATGATTTCCAGAGAAGGCATTCTCAGAGAATGACTGCTTAAGACTGAGGATATGACTCTCACACCAAGTAAGTTTGAACAGGTGGCATTGCCGTGACTTCTCTGCCCTTGGGTGTCTTCAGCTGTGGTTGTCTGCAAAAGGTATAGAGCTCATGCCAACTAGTCCTGCAAATCCAAAGCAGGACAGCACAGCTTCCCTCATGCCTTGCTCATCTGGGGCTGCTTGCTGGAGCAACCCTGCTCTATCTAGTTGGAGTCAGCACAGAGAAAGATGAAGAAAGACTGTCTAGCCTTTTCCTCAGATTTTTTTCTTTCCCACTGAGTGTTATTTAACTTTATATCCAAAGCAGAAACCATGTCTCTCAAGCCTTGAGATTTCTCTGGGACTGAGGCTTCCCAGATACCTGGTCATTTCGGCTCCAAGTCCCAATGTTGATTGCACAGTCATTCCTGACTCACTCATTCCTTCTTGGACAATTTCCCATCTTGGAGGACTCATGAGGGGAGAGGAGCCCCTGAGGCAGACTGGTCTGGAAGTCCTGGTGAACCCGAGCTTCCGAGAATGAGACAGTGTCAGGAGAACATCAGGGGTGGGGAAATATGGAGGAATGGAGATGGGTGTGGTGGTTGGCACAGAGCCAAGGGGAGGTGTGCTCCAAGGTTTCTAGGAAGAGAAACCTCGAATTGAGGTGGAATGTTGATTTTACATGATACAATGTCTGGGTCTCTTGCCAGTTCTGATGCCTCTGAGGGAGGAAATGGTGTGAAGCCAAAAGACAGAACTGCAGCTGCCCCTCAGGGCTCAGTGAAAGGAAAAACCTTTCATCTCTGTCTCCTGTGAACCAGTCAGAGGCCAAGTCAAGAAGGGCCCAGAGACTGTGTCTGACCAATGTGGTTTATTCCTATTCCAATGTGGTTATTCCTGTTGGAGCCCCCAGGCAGAGCTCTCACTGCAGCTTCCTCAGGTCCAGATGAGGCAGGTAATAGCCCAGGCTGTGCTGCTGAACCTCGTAGCCTCCCTCCTTCTTCCGCCGGCAGACGGTGACCTGTGAGGGCAAGAAGAGGGTGTAAGAATGGCCTGGGACCTCAGGGATGAGGGTGGCCAAAGCCACAGATGCCTGGTGCCTTCTGTGTGTGTCTCAACCTTTTTCTACTTCATTTTCTCTCAGGCATGCCTCGTCCTTTTATCTATTTCTCTTCTCTCTTCCCTTCAACTCTGTTTTTCTACCCTTTTCTCTGATACCCCATTCATATCCTCTCCTTCCCTCCCTCCACACAGGCACCCTCTACTTAACTGAGGTTTAACTGGTGTACAATGAGCTGTATGCATGTAAAGCAAATGATTTGACAAGTTTTGATTATAACTTTGTGAACCATCACCACAATCAAGACAAGGAAAGCTCGTCATCCCCCAAAGTGTCCTCTTGCTCCTTTGTAATTCCTCCTTCCCTGCCATTTGCAAAAACTTTCTCATTCCCAGGGAGCCACTGATCTGATTGATATCCCTGTAGATTAGCTTGTCTTCTGTAATTTGTTTATAAACAGGATCATACACTATGTACTCATTGTTATCTAGCTTCTTTCACTCCACATTATTATTTTGAGATTTATGCATGTCAGTGCATGTATTTGTCATTCATTCCTTTTTATTCCTGAATTAGTATTCCATTATGGGGCTAGACCAGGGTTTGTTGATCCATTCATCTGTTGACGGACCTCTGGGTTGTTTTAAGTTTTTGGCTGGTAAAATAAAGTTATTATGAACATTTGTGTACAAGTCTTTGTATAGATTCTAGTCTATTCTAATTTTAATTTAATTTAACTATTTAATTTAATTTAATTTAATGTTATTTCTCTTGCATGAATTCTTAGGAGTGGAATGGCTGGGTAGGTATATGCAACCTTTAAAAATGCACCCAAGCTATTTCTCAACAGCATTCTCTGAGAGTTCTAGTAGTTCCTCATCTTTATCACCACTTGTCAGAGTCAATCTTTTCAATTTTAGCCATCCTCATGTGTCATAGTATCTCATTAGGACTTTCACTTATGTTTCCTTAAGACTTATGTTGTTTAAAAGAAGGAAAAAGCAAGGGGCACTGGGTGACTCAGTCAGTTAAGAGGCCGACTCTTGACTTCAGCTCAGATCATGATCTCAGGGTCCTGGGATGGAGCCCCCTGTCAGGCTCCATGCTTTTTGGGGAGTCTGCTTGAGGAGTCTCTCTCTCTCTCTCTCTCTGTCTCCCTCTTCCCCTCTGTCTGCTCATTCCCTCTCTCTCAAATAAATAAATCTTTAAAAAATTCTTTAAAAAAGGAAAAAGCAAAACACACACAAACTATGAGAGAAATTCACAAAACATATTCCCAGCAAAGGAAATATATTTATAAAGCATAAAGAACTCTTACAACCTAATAGTAAAAAGACAAGCAACCCTCCTTACTTACCAAGAAGCAGCAGATCAGGCATGTGATGACTACCAGGAGTCCTGCCAAGCAGATAAGGATGATGGCCCAGTAGGGGAGGTCTGGGGAGACAAGTGCTGGTGTGAGTCACCTCCTGTCATTCCCCTAGAAGCTCCTGCTTTCCCTGCGTTGTGCCTAACAGTCCCTGACATGGATTGTCCAGCTTTCACCATTATTAAGACTCTGGGCACATGGTTTTCATTAAGTACAGCATCAAGACATTCCTTCCCCATCCTGGGCTGGGACTTCTTTGAGACTTACCAGAATTCTCAGTCAAGACATCATTTCTGTTGTGTGAATACCCTGGAAATGAATGAAATGGAGAATGCATGTGAGTGTGTTTTGTGCTTTTTAAATTTTGTTTTTATGCTTTTTAAATAAGACTTTTCAAATACACAGAAAAACAGAATATCATAAACACACATCATCTAGATTTAACAATGCATATTTTACCCAATTAAAACAATATTTTATCCAATGTATAAATTGTTAGCACTTGCCACCCTTGCTTCATTCGTATTTTCCCTGAAATGTTGAAGTAGAAATCATAATGTTCACCCATTTTTCTCTAAAAAATGAGGACACTTTGCTACATAATCCAAGGAGCGTAATAAATTAATCAAATTCATACCTCTGGGCAAGGAGGGCTGAAATTGGGCTGGGCCATCTTATGATGGTTTTGGGGAGAATGGGTTATCATAGCTGGCAAGACCAAGAGATGTCTCTAAATTTGTAAATTCCCACTCAAAAGCTCTCTTCCCTGCCCAGAAACACATTCACCCCTTCTCCTTTACTAAGTTGTTTTATACTCATTTTCCAGGATTCACCTACAATGTAAGTTTTTTCCAGGAAGGCTTCTGTGATGACCACTTCCAAGTATGATTTATTTCACACCAAATAATTGATACTTTCCAATTGCCTATTCTTGTCATTGTAACTGCAGCATGAACCCCATGAAAGTAGGGACACATAGCACCCACTGGGCATGGGAGAGAGTTTCAGGTCACCCTACTGGACGGCCCCTCCCCAGACAACTTCTTATAGATGTGCTGTCCAATATGGAACAGCTACAAGTAGCTTCTTAAATTAAAAATAATTTTAATCAACTCAAATTTAAAAATCTGTTACCTTGGTAATATTAAAAATCAGTAACTACAAAAGCCAGTCACAATAGCCAGATTTTAAGTATACAATAGTCACATGCAGCCATTGTGCTGGACAGCACATATAGAGAACATTCCATTATAGCAGAAAGTTCTACTGCATGGTGCTGATCCAGAGCAGAACTTGGCAAACTACAACCTAGGGCCAAGTCAGGTCCATTCTTACACAGGTCCTCTTTTTATACAGCCTGTCTTGGAGAAAAGGCTAGTTCATACGCAGCTCAGAGCTAGAATCCCCCACTCACCACTGGCCAAGTGACTTTTAGTACAGGGATGAGAAACAGAATTCCAGAGAGGTGAAGTGACCCGCCTGAGGTCACAGAGCTATCTCTGAGAAGGCAAATGTCTCTAATATCCCACTGGGTATTCCTTCCTCTCCCTCAATGGTAGATAAAGCCTGGGGGGAATATGTCACCTCCCATAAGCCTAAAAAAGTTTAATGCTGACTCAACCCCAGGTCTCTAGATTCCCAGGAAAGAACCCACATGTGGAGGTTGGACCCCTAAACTCCTGCCCCAATGACCAAGAAGCCTTACCATCCACAAGGACACTGTTTCTGTCCAGGGTAAAGTTCTGCAGCTGGGTGCCATTATTGGTCAGCCTCAGGAACTCCAAATAAATGGCAACTCTGCCCAGTTTCCGAACCAATGGTGAAAAGTTACACAGTGAATCCACCCCAGTGTGGCTGCTGTGTGGGACAGACCTGGAAGGGCAAAAGGGATGAACAAGACTACCTTGAATTCTACCTTGCTTCAGGTTCCCTGCTTCTAGGTCCTGTCCAAAAGAACCTTCTGCAATTATACAAACATTGGTGTCTGCAATGTCAAAATACAGGAATTATTAGCCCCATTTTGTTGTTGAGCACTTAAAATATGCTAGTGTGGGTGAGGAAATGAATGTCTCATTTTGTTTAATTTAATTAGGTTATAAATAAAAAGCCATGGGGAGAACATTTTGAAATGTTTACTGTAAGGACTTCCAAAAATCCATAAAATCATTGAGAACACTGGCAAGAATGGTCAAAATCAACTTTTTCAGAGGTCTAGAAATTAACCAAAGGCTTGTAACAATCCGAGGATCGGTTAGTTAAGAAAAAAAGAGGATGTCAGAAAAAATGGCTGAAAACTCTGAAAGTGTGTCCTTCCAAAAAAATAAAAAATAAGGGGAAGTGGGTGGGTGGGGGGATCAGGTAAATGGATGATGGGCATTAAGGAGGACACTTGATATAATGAGCACTGGGTGTTATATGCAACTGATGAATCATTAAATACTACCCTTGAAAATCCATAAATAAACTCATGCAATCATGGACAACTGATTTTCAACAAGGGTGCCGAGATAACAGGGAAAGAATAGCCTAGCTAACAAATCAGTACTGATACAATTAAATATCCACAAACTAAAGAATGAAGTTGGACTCGCACCTCACAACACAGACAAAAATTAGCAAAATAAATCAAATGCCTAAATATAAGAGATAAAATTATAAAACTCTTAGGAAAAAAATGCTGGGTGTAAATCTTTGTGAATTTGGATTAGGCAATGGTTTCTTTGATTTGGGACTAAAATCACAAACAACCAAAGAAAAAATTGATAAACTGAGAGTCATCAAAATTAAAGATGAAATTAAAATTAAAGATGTGTTTCAAAGGGTAGTACCTAGAAGGTGAAAAGGCAACGTGACAAATAGAAGAACATATTTGCAAATCATATATCTGACAAAGATCTAGTATCCAGAACACACAAAAATGGTGATAACTCAACAATAAAAAAAATCAGTGTAAAACTGGGAAAAGGACTTAAAAATAGAAATTTCTGCAAAGAAGATAGGAAATGACCAATCGGTACTAAAAAAAAATGTTTACTGTCTTGTTAATTTTGGCCTTTCTAGCTGGTGTAAGGTGGTATCTCAATGTGGTTTTGATTTATGGCCAAAATTAACAAGACAGTAAACAATGTGTGTTGGAGAGGATGTGGAGAAAGGGAAACCCTCTTACACTGTTGGTGGGAATGCAAGCTGGTGCAGCCACTTTGGAGAACAGTGTGGAGATTCCTCAAGAAATTAAAAATAGAGCTTCCCTATGGCCCTGCAATTGCACTACTGGGTATTTACCCCCAAAATACAGATGTAGTAAAAAGAAGGGACATCTGTACCCCAATGTTCATAGCAGCAATGGCCATGGTCGCCAAACTGTGGAAAGAACCAAGATGCCCTTCAACGGATGAATGGATAAGGAAGATGTGGTCCATATACACTATGCAGTATTATGCCTCCATCAGAAAGGATGAATACCCAACTTTTGTATCAACATGGATGGGACTGGAAGAAATTATACTGAGTGAAATAAGTCAAGCAGAGAGAGTCAATTATCATATGGTTTCACTTATTTGTGGAGCATAGGAAATAACACGGAGGACATGGGGAGATGGAGAGGAGAAGGGAGTTGGGGGAAATTGGAGGGGGAGATGAACCATGAGAGACTATGGACTCTGAAAAACAATCTGAGGGTTTTGAAGGGGCAGGGGGTGGGAGGTTGGGTGAGCCTGGTGGTAGGTATTATGGAGGGCAGGTATTGCATGGAGCACTGGGTGTGGTGCATACAATGAATTCTGGTACACTGAAAAGAAATAAAAAAAATAAAAAATTTTTTAAAAAAGTTCAACATCACTAATTGTTAGGAAAATGCAAATTGGAACAACAGTGAGATACCATTTCACATCCACTGGGATGACTATAGTAAAAAAAGGGATAATAACAATTGTTGGTGAGGATCTGGATAGTTTGGAACTCATACATTGCTTATGAGAGTGGGAAATGGTAGAACCTCTGTGGCAAACAGTTCAGTAGTTCCTCAAAAGTTAGCCTGGAATTACCATATGACCATACAATACCAGTCCTATGTACATGCCCAAGAGAACTGAAAACACAAGCTGATGCAAAAACTTACATGAAAATGATCATAGCAACATTATTCATAATAGACAAAAAAGTGGAGATAACCCAAGGTTCATCAGTGAATGAATGGATAAATGCAAACTGGTTTACCTCCTTACGGTTTGCCTCTGTAAGAGACTCTTAACTCCAGGAGACAAACTGAGGGTTGCTGGGGCAGGGGATGGGGTAAATGGGGGATGGGTATGAAGGAGGGCATGTGATGCAATGAGCACTGGGTGTTACGTGCAACTCATGAATCACTAAATTCTACATCTTAAACTAGTAATACAGTGTATGTTAATTAAATTGAATTTAAATAAAAGTTTTTTAAAGTAGTAGAGCTATACAACAGATATTATTTAGTCATAAAAAAAGGAATGAAGTACTTATACGTATTACAACATGGATGGATCTTGAAAACATTATGCTCAGGGAAAGAAGTTGGTCACAAAAGGCCCCGTAGTATTTGAATTCATTAATATGGGATGTTCAGAATAGGCAAATCCAGACAGACAGAAAGTAGATTATTGTTTGCTAGGGGATGTGGATTAAGGGAAGACTAGGAAGCAACTGCTAATGGGTACAGGATTTTTTTAAAAGAACATTCCACACCCTACATCACATCTACATCAAAAACTAATGATGTACTAGTCGGTGGCTAACTGAACATAATTTTAAAAAATTCCACCATTAGATAGTGGGATGATTGTACTACTCTACAAATAAAGCACTAAATTGTGCACTTCAAAGGGGTCCATTTTCTATGTGATCCTATTTCAGTAGATATATGAGAAGTTTGGATTGGCTCTTTTGACTAGTGGCTACACTACTGAGCATCACAGTCCGACTGCTGGATTCTAAGTCATCTGGTTCTAGCCACCCCCATCTTCTATGGATCCTGACTTCAATGGCTAATTTCTTAAGGCATGGATGCTCTACTCGACATCCCATGGCCCAACATCAGGTGCCTCCAGGTCTGCTGAAGTCTACTCTGGCTTTCTTGAATTTCTGAGCCAGTTGGGTTCACTGGTTTAGGAATAAGTTGGTTTTTAGGTAACAGTTCAATACTCCCAGGGCTATCTTCCATAAGAGCTAGAACTGGGACCATGACAATGGGGACACTTTTACTTAAAGGACATCAGGAGTCTCCAGAGTGATTAGATCCTGAGCTGGAACTCACCTGAATGCTAAAACTTGACAGCCAGAGAAAAAACTCTTGATGCTGCTGTTTCGGAAGACCTGGTTGAGCTGAAAGATAGGACAATGTTCCCTTGATCACCATCCCAGGCCAAGTGGCAGGAGAATTTTTAGCCGCTGAGCATACTTCCCTTCTATTTTTTCCCATCTATTTTTTCTTATCTCAACAAACACTAGCCCAGATAAGTGTACCAAAGGACATCCCATTCCAGAGTATGACTTAGCTACAGGACCCTGGACTAGCTACTGAAATTCTCTGGGCCTGTTTCTTAATTTGTAAATGGGCATAAGAACCTATCTTCATGAATTGTTATGAAATTGTTATGAAAAATCACCCTCTGACTACCCAGTGTCCATAGGTCTGTCTCTACATGGGAATGGAGTGGATTCTCACCGCATTCTCAATACTTCTCTTGTTCTGCCGGTGTTTGGTGGTGCCTGGCTGGGCTATGTCCTGGGAATAGAGTAGGTTGGTGACAGTGAAATTCAGCTGGAAGTGCTCAGGGCTGGGACTGCTTGTTGGTATGTCTATTGGTAGATGAGCTGATGGCTCCACTTCTATAATAAAAAGAAGGTATAAAAGTCCCAATCAGGTGAAGATTTTAGCAAAAAAGTCATTCCAGCTAGTCTACTTATTCCTGGCAATGTGACCGGAGTTGGATTTTTAAAGATGTTTTGCATAAGGCCCTCTATCCACCCAACCACTTTATATCCATTGATCTCTCTATCCACCAACTCTCCCCCAAGCATTATGAGAGCTCACTAGTATGTGGGGATGAGGAGATTGGGCCCTTCTGGGGCACAGAAGGCAAGTGCAGGTACTGATCACCCTAGGGGACATCTGTCATACACCTTTGTTGACCTAAGTTCCTAATGTATCTCGCTGCCTCTGGTCTTCTCCCCTTCCCAATCCACTCTCTATACAACACTCAGAGGATGAGCTTTCTAAAGCAGAATTCTGTTACATTCCTCTGCAAACAATTCCAGTGCCCAAGAAAGTCCCTGCCTGCTTCTATAGCTTTACCCACCACTTCTTCCATGTCAAAGTGTTTGCTCCAGCCACACCAACTCCTTAGAGCCTCCCCAAATATTCTGTCTTCTAGGATATAAACACATGTAACTCGACTCCCTAACTCCTCCCATTGGCTAGGTCATGTTCACCATCACATCTCAGTTTGCTCATTACTTCCTCCAGAAAACTTTCCAAGATGGGCTGTGTGTCCCTCCTTGGGGTTCCCTCAGGTTCTTGAAATTCTCTGATTGTAGCAGTTTCCACAGTGCATCATCAGTGCCTATTTACTTTCATGACATACTTGTTGAATGAATGAATGTGTCCTTCAATCAATCAACGTATGAGTCATAGCCAGAGGGCCTAAGAAAGCAACTCAGGATACTACACATTTTGGGTTGGAAAGATTTGAGTAAAAATAATCATTTCCTTGGGTGCAATTGCTGCATGTTTTCTTCCTACTTCCTGTTGGATGATCCAATGTCATGAGTCATCAACATGGGCCTCCAGAAAGTCCCCCTTTCCCCTCCAGAGCCTCCATCCATTCTACTGCTCCTGAGAAGCCCCATCCTTCCTTCCTCATAACCCCATCTCTTCAAGCCATGAAATCAACCCCCAATCTTGCACCTGTCACATGCAGGTCCGTTAGCTGATAGGTGGCCCCTAGCCAGTGGGATGAGACATTCAGGGTCTTGTCCAGAAAGACTTTCTTCACCACGCTGGGGTCCACATTGGAAGAGAACAGTACCTGGACAGTGACCAACATGGAGCCCAACCTAGAGACAGAGATCATGGAACTCAGCCATCACTCAACACGAGCAGTGTCTCCTGAGTTCTTGTTTAATAGGCTCAAAGACCTAAAGGCAAGAGGTGAGAGATTATCTCCCAGGCTAGAGAAGACACCCTGACCAAAAATACAAGGTTTCCACGAGTTGGGAATAGAACAAATAACTATAAAAATAATGAACATCTACGGAGCACCTCTAGGAAGTGACTTAAACATTCCCTCACCATCACTCTGGTGGAGGGTATCATTATGATTATCCCCATCTTAAAGACGAAAGAACTGAAGTCTGGAAACACTCAAAGTTGGCACTGTGTCCCATGATCCTCCTGTTCCCCAGTGTTTCAGTTCTTCCACCCATTCTTCACAGACCTGGGTTCCAACCAAATTTGGGCAATTCTTGAGCTGTTTACTTTTCTTCTCCAAGCCTCAGCTTCCCCATCTGAACAATGGGGATGATCACAATAGTATCCATCTCACAGGGGCTGTATGAGAATCCCATGAGATGACCATGCATGAAAGTGCTCAGCAGGGGTACGGCCACGGGAAATGTTATTATTGAGCTGATCTTTGTTGAAAGTATCTCAAAGAGGAGAAGTTGGTGGATGCTAGTGTTGGTGGTCCCATGAGGTTAATCCTTCCCTTACCCCTCCCCAAAGTCCTATGGAAGGAGATGGTAGGAATGGCTGACAGGGACGTGGGGGAGCATGGAGAGCTTGTCAGTGACTTTCATCTCAAAGACTGTGCCAGGATGGAAGCTCAGAGCCGCAAGCTGCCAGCTCAGCCAGCGCTTCCAACCTCCTCAACTTACGTCAAATTGGTGACCAGGCAGGAGTGGAATATGTCTTGTAGCTGGCTGCTTCTGTAGAGTTTGGTGACCTAGAATAAAGGGTGGGGACAGTGGGTGAGATGGAGGCCTCCTGGGGCTGGAGGGGTCTACTGGAGCCAGTGAAAGAACACAGGCCTTAGAGCAAAGGAGCTCTGAGTTTGTATCCTGGCTGTGTGACCTTAGGCACACCACTCCCCCTTCTGAGCCTCAGTTTGCCCATCTGGAAAATGGGGAAGGCAGCCAGAGCACCACCTTTGGAAAATGAGAGAACTCAAAACACATAGGCAAAGGGCAAAATTGAAATAATCACTTAATATATGTGAATCAGAGGAATGACAGGGGCACCCAGGGCAAGGAGAGATAGGACAGGAGAGAGAGACACTACCTTGTCCTGGATGTCCCTCCACAGGTCTGTGTACTCCAATGAATGACAGGGGCACCCAGTTCAAGGAGAGACAGGACAGGAGAGAGAGACACTACCTTGTCCTGGATGTCCCTCCACAGGGCTGTGTACTCCAAGGATGTGGGGTCTGGGTTGCTGAGGTTCCAGTTGATGATGCGGAAATTTAGCTGATACTCCCTCTGGGTAGATAAACTCTGGGGTGCATAGCCTGGAGCCAACGAGAGGAGGAGAAGACCATTGGAGACTCTTAGCCATTAGCACAGAGAGAGGCATAGTGCCTACTGTCAGAGTCAGCCAAACTTAGGCCCACATGCTGGGGACTTCCAAATGGAAAGTCACCCCACAATGGGGAAAACTGGAATTTTACAGGGATTCTCCCAGGGTGAGTTTTTCTATTGCACTTATGCAATTCCCACTTCGTGGAATGTTCTTCAATCCTCTGCTTTTCCTGGAAAACTCCTACTCATGTTTCAGAACCCCAATGAGATGGAACTCCAGGAGAGCAGGGATCTCTCTGTCTTGTTCTTGCCATGTTCCAGGGCCTAGTATAGTACTGGGTACATAATATCTTCTTCTAGGAAGCCTTCCCTGAATTGTTCCCCCTCTGTGATTCCATGGCACCCTGTTAATAACAGTGTCTCTGCCTTTTTGGTGTGTCCCTAAGTAATATTCAGTCCTCTTGGTTATGAGATTTTTCAGGGAGAGAACTTGTGTGTTCTATCCCTGTACCCAGCACATGGCTTGGGACAGAATGGTAACGTAAATGTGTTTGTTGAAGGGGTGAATGTAAACTTCAGTAGATCCTCAAATATGGGGCTGAGATACTTTTCTCCCAATGGTTCACTCATTTACTCATTCACTGGGTATGAGAATATACTAACTAAAGAACTGAGGTTGTAGTGACACATTACAAGACCTTAATTTCATAAAGTTGGATAATTAAACAATTGTGGTGAAGTATGATTAGTTGGTCTGGTGCCCATCTAGGAACCATGGGACCATGGAGAGCAGGGTTTCTCATCCTCGGAACTACTGATATTTGGGGCTACCTAAGTCTTGGTGGCGAGGATCTCCTGTTCGTTGGAGGACATTAGCAACACCCTTGAGCTCTAGCCACTAGATGCCGGTAGCACTCTTCCCCAGTTGTGGCAACCAAAATGTCTCCAGTCATTGCCAAGTGTCTCCCGAAGGGCAGAACTGTCTCTAGGTTAGAACCACTGACAGAGAGGGGCCTCACATTGTAGAACTCCTGTCCCAAGTGATCCCATGAGTCAGACACTCGGGGTTCAAATTAGAATCCATTATATTAATTTGTCAAAGAATTTCATGCTATTTACCTAAAATAACAGGAGAGACTTTTTCCACGGAGAGTTTGGGGAGGATATTGTCTCATCAGAACTTGGGCTGACTTGTTAAAGAGGAAATAAAGTAGAATGGGGACCAATAATGATTGCTATAAATCACTCACCATTGACGAAGAGGCTGTCATGGACCAGGGTATAGAAGCCCATCTGGGTGACACCATGGGTCAGCTGGTACAGCTCCCAGTAAAGCTGCTCTCTGTCAAGTCCATGGCCCATGAAGTCATGGTGGTAGGTGCAGATGGCATCAACATGGGTGGTTGGCCCATCCTTCTCAGGTCTGGGGAGAGAGGGATGTGGGGACTCTAAAGGTAGGTCCTGAAACCTCACTATGGGGATCACAAGGAGGTGGGTAACAAATGGGAGATCAGCGGGAAGACTGGAAGGGTTGGTCACCAAAATGGTCACTACTAGCAAATGCTCAGAAAAAGAGTCCTACCTGAGGGAGATTAGTCTGCAATCTGAGTAGAAGGGGCCCAAACTGCTCTTCTGGAACAAGGATCCAAGCTGGGGAGGAAGGGAGAGGAGGATGAACAGGAGAGACAAAAGTGGGGCAAGGGCTGGGTGGAATTGATCCCACTAGGAACTTCTGGGACCAGGGTCTCACCAGGCGCTGCAGAGTCCTCTTGGTGGAGTTGAACATAGCTGAGCCATTGCTCATGTCCACTGAATACTGGAGGTTCGAGATGGTGAAGTTGAGTGTAAGGGTCTTCAAGTTGTATCCCATAGCTACAAGAAGAGAGGGGAGAGATGGCTACTACTGAGAGCTGGCCTGAGACCAAATCAGAGTCCTACATTCATTGTACTCTGTCATCTTCTCTTCCAGTGGCACCACCACCCACTATCTGGTCACCCAATTCAAAACCATCATGTCGCTCAGCTCCTCCTCCTTCCCCTCCAAGTAACCCCAATACCACTTGCAGAATGGTCCTCATATACATCCTCTCTATCCTCTCCCAGCTCAAGCCTTTTCTTCTCTCACTTGGACCAACACCCCAGCAGACTTATTGGATGCCCTCTCTAAAGAATGTTCTCTACACTGAAAACTAGAAGAAATTTCCTTAAGTAAAAAAATCTCAGTATAGTCACCACTACCCATGGCTTCCTTTGGCCTTCAGTGTCAAGTTCAAACTTCTTGAGCTGGCACTCAAGGTTCTTCCCAATATGGTTCTTGTGATCCTTTCAGCTTCAATATCCATCTACTCTAGGTTCAGCTTTATGCTTTATGCAAACCAAATCCCTCTCAATTCTCTCCATACACTATGCTGTTTCTGGCCACTGAGACTTTGCTCATCAAATCTCCTATATCAGGAAAACTCTTCATCCCCTATTTTCCTGGATGACACCTCCTCATTCTTAAACTCTCATTTTGGTTGAAACTTTCTCCAGAAAGACTTCCCCCCAAAATTATACTAGGTGCCTCTCCCCAAAATATCTCACATTGTTGTTATAATGGTTTGCTGATCTCACAAAGCTAGTGGCTCCATAAGGGTATGCATTAGACTGAATTGTCAGTATAATCTTTGCAATTGACATGACTGACCTACACCAGAATTTTACAACTGACTGGTAGAGCAGAGCTTTTCTTGGGAAGGAAAAGGGATCTCCCAGATACCTGTGGTGGCTTCTGGTTGTGTAGGTGATGATGAATGAGGCAGGAATGTGGTGGCTGCCTCAGGAGCTGTGGAAAGGGCAGTCATCAGGAAGGAACAGAGTCCCCACACAGTGGGAGAAACTCCCCAAAGCTTTCCTGGGCTCTAGCAGTGGTTGCCCCAGGACAAGCATTCACAGGTGTGTCACCAATGAGAGTAAGGGAAGGAGGAATTGTGTGAGCAGAGGGGTGAATGAGCCCACGAGTGAAATAAACTCAATAAAGTAAGGGTAGGCGAACAAGAGAGAGATTAAGCAAGAGGACAGGGAGATGAATGGGCAGAAGAGTGGACAGACAGGGGGTATACCTGGATGGACAGAGGAATAATGAACAAACGAAGGGTCAAAAAGAAAGAAAGAATAAACACAGGAAGAAAAGTTGGAGAGATGGATAGAAGGGAAAAAGGAGGAAAAGACAAGCAAGTGAATAGGCAGAGGCTGGATGGATGGACAGATGGATGGAAAGAAGTAAAGAATGAAAGATGGATGGATGGAAGGATGGACAAAGGAGAGAAGGAATGAAGCATGGATGGATGCAAGGAGAGATAGAAGGACGGATGGATGAATTGATGGATGGGTGGATGAAAGAAGAGAGAGAAGGAGGGAAGGAAGGATGGATGGATGAATTGAAGAAAGGAAGAATGGATGAAAGTTTGGATGGACAAAGGGAAAGAAGGAAGAAAAGATGGATAGAGGGAAGGAAGAATGGAGAAGTCTGAGAGAAGAGATAACTTGAGAATGGGAGAATGGATGGATTAAAAGATAGATGAAGGGACCATTGGACAACAAACAGGCAAATTTGGCCAAACCACTGAGTGGCCACCACAGTTGCATCTTGACATTGAGGCCCCTTCTGTGGCCCTTGTAAGAGATCTTGTTTTCAGGAGGCATGGACTCCTCATCTGACCCCAACCCTGCATCCCTGTAGGAAATATTTGTTCAAATTTCTTCCTCCAACCCAAAAGGGTGTGGAAAGTTTAGAAAGCCAATGCCATGGCTGCAGGCCCAGAAGAGACCAAGGACTCAGCATGCTTCTTCCCACTGATCCCTGGCCACACTCAGGAGAGCAGCCTGAGATTGGGGCAAGCTCCCTTTATTAGTGAGGAGAAAAGTTTGGCTCAAGATCGGGAGAGGCTGATATGGGTACTGGTTGCAAAGATACATACTTGTAGGAGGCTCATCTGGACCACGTTCATTATAACCTGGAAACATAAATGTCACACGTAAGGAGAGGTGGCAGCACAATCCCAGATAGTCCATGCCTTTGTCCATGTGGGGCTCCTGCTGGCCTTTCCTTCTGTGTACCAGGGAAGCATCTATGCATTTTCCAAGATCAGACTCAAATGTCATCTCCATCATTAAGGTTTTCCTGATCTTCCAGGTAGAGATGACCCTTCCCTATCCACCTCTCCAGCATGCCCCTAAGAGACCCTCATCACATTTATGTTCACATATTTATTCCCCCACATATATATCCATCCCAATATCTACCCTTCCGCCCTCCCTCCAATCTATCCCTCCAACCAACAACTATTTATTGAGAACCTACTATGTGCCAAGTTCTATTACATTTGGAGAATATATCACTGAGCAAAATATCTCTGTCCCTTTGGAGCTCACATTAGGACAGGTTGCCCATGTAGCCTGTGTCCCTGGTGCCAAGCACAAGGCCTGGCTTATAGCAGATTCTGGGGACTGCTGGCTGAGTGAACAAAATGAAGCATATTTTACAGGGGGGGGAAATATCCTAAACTTGCCCCTGCAAGGGCCAAGGTGAAGGGAAAAGATGTGAACGCACAACATCAAGACCCAGACTGACTAGTGGCATGGGTAGGTTGCTTTCCTTCTCTGTACATCTCCCTCTTTGCTCAAATGGGAGTCATAAAGGGCCAGGATGTCTCCCTGTCCACCTGATGTGGTAATGGGGATAAGAAAGTGTGATTTGCCAAATACCATTTCCAAGCTGGGGACAGAGAGAAGAGAAGCTGAATTATTCCAATAAACCTCACCACGTTCCATGCTCTGCCTCTCAGAACCCCAGAGGGGGTGGGTCACCTTCTTAAACACTGTCCCTTCCTGGCTTCTACAAAGATGCCCGGCATGTCCAAAGCTTGGACCCCACAGATGTCCAGAGTGCCTACCTCATTTCCTGGCACTAGGGCCCCACCCAGGAGAGAAGCCCATCCCCGGTCTAGGGTAAGAAGCTGGGAGAGAAGACAGATGTGGGATATTCTTTTCCCATGCCTCCCCTGGAATGATCTTTCAGGAGTTAAAAGCATAGGGTCAAGCACAGTGTTGGATGCTAACTGCTGGGGCTCAGGCCTAGCTCCGTCCTTCTCTAGCTGCACCCACTTGGGCAAATTACTTAACTTTTCAGAGCCTCCATGTCTTCATCTGTAGAACAGGTGTGATCAGGGACAGCCTTACAGAGTGACTGTTGGAGGGTAGGGGTCAGTATAGAGTTGAGATTCACACCTGAATTTGTCTCAAGGTTTCCCCTAGGTTTCCTGACCTGTGGGACGGGGGTATGGAAGCAGTGAGGGGGGGCTGAGAACTGCTCACCATTGAGGTAGAGGCTGTCCTTGTCCAGAGAATAGGGACCCAGCCGGGTAATGCCACGGGTCTGCCGGCTCAGCTCATGGAACACCTGCTTGGCAGGCAGATCCGGGCTGCTGGGGGGCTGCCGGTAGGTGCAGAGGATGTCCACCCTTGTTTTGGCACCATTCTTCACAGATCTGAGGAAGGAGAGATTGATGTGTAGGGAGTGCAGCCCACATGGTACCTCTTCACCTGTGGGCGCTGCACACCTCATGTCCTGTGTTCCAGCCTTACTGAACCATTCACAGTTTCTCCACCTGGCCACACTCTCTCACCCCAGGATCTTTGCACATGCAGTGCCTTCTGTCTGGAGGTCTCTCCCCTTCTCTCCTTACTCTCTGATAATTTCCCGGTCATCCTTCAGCTCTCTACTTAGACACCTCCTCGTTCTCCAAGAGCCCTCCCAGGCAGAGTCAGGAGAGGATCCTGGTTGCCACAGGACACCATGCTTCCCCCATCACAGCTCTGATGGCCCCCAGTGTGAACCTATATTATTTGTTCCTGTTCCCTCTATACAGTGGCCTCCATGAGGTCAAGTAATGGGACAGTTTAGCTCACCATTGTGCTGAACTCCCAGCACCTTGCCCATTGCCTGTTCCATGCAAAAACCAAAGTCCTGATGAATGGATGAACAAAATAGGATATATCCATACAATGGAATATGATTCAACTTTAAAAGTGAGGGAAATGCTGACACCGGCCACAATGTGGATGGACCTTGAGGACTTTATGTTTAGTGAAGTAAGACAGACACAAAAAGGCAAATACCATATGATTTCACTTGTGTGAGATACCCAGAGTGGTCAGATTCATGGAGACGGAAAGTAGAATGGTAATGGCTAACATCTGGGAGTAGAGGGAAATAGGGAGCCATTGTTTAATGAGTACAGACTTTCAGTTTTTGCAAGTTCTAGAGACCGGTTGCACAATAATGTGAACACACTTAACACTACTGAACCGGACACTTAAAAATGATTCAGATGGTAAATTTTCTGTTGTGTGTCTTTTATCACAATTAAAAAAGAATCCATTCTTGCCAAGATTCTACATGGTGTGGACCTTGCTGCTGTCTGGAAACACACCTTCTTTCTCTCTGTCCCTCTCTCTCTGTTCCAGACACACCGGCCTCCTTGCTGTTCATTGAATATGCCAAGCTCATTCCTACCTCAGGACCTTTGCCCATGCTGTTTCCTCCACATGGAACAGTTTTCACAGCCAGTTTTCAAGGCCAAATCCTTTTCCACCTGGGACACCACTCAGAAATCACCTCCATGAACTATCCTGTGCCTTAGGTAAAGCTGCTTTCCCATCTTTCTGCATTTCTGCTTCGCATCACCTTATTATATTTGAAACCATTTCAGATATTTTATTCTTCCACTTAGATTCTTCTTCCTCCACTAGATGAGTGCAGGGACAGTGCCTGTGCTGTCACCATGGTGCCCACCGCCTGCCTCAGGGGAGCTGCACCACTGATGACAGCAGACTGAGAACACAGCTGGAGAAATACTTTGTAAACCCCCACAGAACCCACACCAACCCAGAAAAGTGGAAGTAATGGCCCGATGAAAAGTTTCAGAATGAGTAGGATGATGGGTGCATAGCATCATGCCCATAACAGATGTCACTGAAATGTATGCTTGAAAATAGTGAAATGGCTAATTTTATGTCTATATGTATTTTGTCACAATTTTAACAATAATGTAACATGGAGACATGGATGCCAACAAGGACCCTCCAAGACAGTCTGCTACAACTGGCGGTGGCCCCCACAGTCAAGAAATCCTGTCCTGCCGCAGGGGGGCATGGTGGGTGGGGGGGTGGTTCTCACCTTAGTGAAGTGACTTTGCAGCCTGCATATCGGGCTCCTAGGCTGCTCCTCTGGAACAACGGGCCAAGCTGGAGAGGAAGGAGAGGGCCAGTGTGGTCAGATCCAGTGACAGCCCCGAGGAGGAGTCACGGGAAAGCTGGTCTCTTACCAGGTGCTGCATGAGGCTGTCTGTGATGTTGAACTTGAGGGACCCGGGGCGGCCCATATCCGCTGAGTAGCGCAGGTTGTCGATGGTAAAGTTCAGCGTGAATGGCTCCTCACTGACCTCCCCAGCTGTGACAGGGGCAGAGAGGGCCAAGGCTTATGGGGACGTTGGGGCGCCCAACATCCACCCATGATGGGGCTTTCAAGGGCCTCTTGTCCTCCGTCCACAAACCCGAGGGTCGCTTGTTAATGGGGACAACTCCAGAAGCAAGTAAGGACAGGTGTAATGATTTGGGGGCTGGAGATGGTATTCCCACCCAGGTGCAGGAGTGGAGGGGCTCTGTGGAAACACTAGCAGCTTTGTTCTTCCCAGAAAGGCAAGGCTCCAACTTACCATACTGATGTAGAACCGGGGAAAACCCCACATATTGTCCTCCATATGCTCTCTGCTCCCCCATCTCTAACTCTTTATCTCTCTGTGCCTCTGTCTCTCTTTTCTTCTCTCTCTCTTACACCCAGATATGCCAAACTTCTATGCATTGCATTAAAAAAAAATCCAACTAGGAGCTATAACCAATCTCTCTGTACCTTGATTTACTCAACTGTAAGATAATGATTCCTAATTCAAAAGCTGAAATGAGGTTTGAACAAGTCAAATTCTGTAAAGTGCCTAAGCACAGTGCTGGGCACAGGGTAAACACTAAATAAATATTCATTATATAAAACAAATAAGCAAATATTTTCTGATCACTCACTACATATGGAACTTTAAACCTGGGTAAGTAGCTGGGAGCTAGAATCACCCACACGAAACACAGTACAGAAATGGTCCTCTGCCCAGGGTTACATGACTGGAGAGGGAGAGTCTGGTTCTGGACCCAGGTTCTCCAATCCCAGAGTCCTTGCTCATGACCTCCCCTGTGAAGACACACGCTCCTGCTGAGACACATGCAGCTGGCTCAGTGTTCAATAGTTGGGGTGACCTGAGTAGACCCCAGGGGAAGTGTAATAAGTGAACATATGATACAAGAGAGACCAGAGGCCCAATGGCCTGGCTCTAGAATGGATAATCAGGACAAACCTTTGGAAGAAAAACTTACCTCTCCCCTCCCTCTCTTCTGTTCACTACTCCTTCCAAGCTCCCTTCTGTCTATCCTTCCTTCCATTCTTCCTTCTTTCTTTCCATCTTTCTTTCTATTCATCCACGCATTCATTCTTTCTTCCTTCCATCTATTCATCTTTTCTTCTCCCTCCCTCCATCCCTTCTTCCTTTCTTCTATCATCTGTCTACCCAGCATCCTGTCCAACCAACCATCCTTCTATCCATCCATCCTCCATGTCTCCATCCATCAACCCACCCTCCCATCCACCCATCCATGTACCCATGACATCCATCCATCCATCCATCCACCCACCATCCTTGCACACATCATTCCTTCCTGCCTCATTCCTTCTTTTCCTTCCTCTTTCTCCATTCACACCTCTTTCTACGCATCCTTTTGTCTGCCCTTCCTTCTATCCCCACCTTCGTCCATCTATCCACCTTTCCTTGCTTCCTTCCTCCACGCTTTCTTTTCTTCCATCTATCCATCCATCTTTCCTTTCTCTCATATCTATTCCTTCCATCTATTTAGACATTTTCCCTTCCTCCTTTTCCCCCTCCAYTCATCTTTTCTTCCTTCCATCTGCCCATCCATCTTCTGTCCCCACCTCCCATTCATCACTTCTTCCTCCCTCCCTCCCATCCATCCATCCATCCATCCATGTCTTTCCTCCATGTACATTGAATTGATCCTATAATGCTTCAGGAACTATTCCGAGGAGTGGATACTGAGCAACAAAACACAGTCAATCCAACTGACTTTAACTTATTTTTCCTTTTATCATTTGGGAAAAGATGGTTGTCATTGTACCTGAGGAGCCCAGACCCCCAGTGATGTTGGAAGGAGCGAGGGAGGATGCTGTGGTGTAACAGACCAGAGATGGACCCAAGAAGAGAGTTTGAGAGGGCTCCAAAAACACACCTCTGATGCAGGGGCAATTAATTCTTGAAAAAGCTACAAGGTCCTCATTCCAGGGTTTGCTAGGGATGAACTTGAACATAACAGGTGTACACCAAAAATCAGCATGTCCTTTTAAAGAAATTAACTGATGGAGGAGTGAGACTGTGAGTTTTTGGAGTCACAGGAACTCTTGGTTCTATTATGTATTTGCTGTATGGCTTGGCAGCCTCTCCCAGCCCGAGTTTACTCATCTGTAAAATGGAGCTGAGTCACATGGTTGTAGCAAGAACTAAAGGATAAAGAGCATGTGTTTTTGGATGAATTGTGTCTCCTGCCCTTCCTGTATACACACACACACCCAAATTCAAGAAGCTCTAATCCCTAGTACTTCAGTAGGTGACTGTATTTGGAGACAGGGCCTTTAGAGAGGTAGCTGGGTTAAAATGAGGCTTTTGGGGTGGGCCCTAGTCCAGTCTGGCTGCTATCGGTATAAGAAAAGGAGATTAGGACACAGAGGGACACCGGGAATGTGTGTGCAAAGGAATGACATGCCAAGAGGCAGTAAGCAGATGCCACCTGCTCGCCAAGGAGAGAGGTTTCAGAGCAACCAACCCTGTTGGCACCTTGATCTGGACTTCCAGCCTCCAGCACTGTGAGAATATATGTGTTGGTCATCTGAGCCCCCTGGCCTGGGTATTTTGCTTTGGCAGCCAGAGCTGATCAAGACAGTACGTAATGTATGTAGCACGGTGCCCGGAAGGCACCAAGTTCAATACGTGTTCACCAAAAACCTAACAAATGGTGTAACACTGATGTTGAGACACTCTCAGAACAATAGACAGAGAGGTGAGTGGAATGGTAAGAGAAGAGTGCCAGGGCAGGGTTTTAGAAGAATCCAAGGGATAACCATGAAGGTCAGAATGGTGGGAGGACAGGCCTGTGTGTGAGATGCTCTTGCCCTGGGCTGGGACTCTCCACCAGAACCCAGAGGGAGAAGTGGGGAGTGAGGGGCCCTCCCAGGTCTTTCCCTCACTGAAGACAGGAGGTAAAAGGAGAACAGAGTGGGGATGGGACCCAGGAAACCAGGGCCAGGAATACTCACTAGTGGTAGTCGGTATTATGGTTCCATAGGTGTAACCTGCAGAGAGAAAGCCAGAGGAGCTGAGCCAGAGTCAGGGTGAACATAAAGGATTAAGGGAAAGGCAGGATTTAGGGGGACTTTGTAGGAAAAGCAGAGGGGATGAGGCAGTGGAGGGATGTTTGGGGAGGAGGCATCCAGGCAAGGAGACTGTAGATGGCTAGAGCCCATGGTTATGTCATTGGAATGAAGACTGAACCAAGACCAGAGAAGAAGGAGATATACCACAGCTCCTTTTAGAGAAACACAAAACTCTCCCAGGAGAGAGACCCTGCCTGGAGCACAGTCCCTCACCATTGACGTAGAGGCTGTCCCTGTCCAGGGTGAAGGGCCCCAGCTGGGTGATGCCATAGGTCTCACGGCTCAGCTCCCAGTACAGCTGCTCCCTGTCCAGCCTGGGGTCTGCAGAATCAGAGTGGATGGCGCAGGAGATGTCCACTCCGGTGGCTGCTCCGCCCTTCTCAAGCCTGGGGAAGGAAGGACATGGGAATGTGGAGTACTGAGGAGGGGTCCTTCTAGATGGGGAAAGCAAGAGAGCTGAAGGCAGGATGCTGAGAGGGGATGGAAAGGGCTGGCTCAAGCCCAGAGGGGCTCTCCAAAGGGTCGCTCATCTGAGACAACCCCCTTGCAACTAAGAACAAAACACACTTTAAGAGAAGACACGTTAAGACTTTAACACTTGAAGACAAGAGATAGTGCTTCTTCCAAGAGGAAAGCTTTCATCTAAAACAAATGATCATCTCTGGAATCCGTAAGGACAAACACGACACCTCATTTCTAAGACCTGGACATTCCCACCACGTGGGCGTGAAGAACACAGGAAGGTGTTACGGCAGGTGCTGGAGGCCAGTGATACCAAAGGCATTCCCAAGAACTGAGCCCCGCTGGCCAGTACATGAGGGTCCACTGGACCCAATGCATCCCTCCATCTGGGGGTCTCACCTGAGCGAGGCCAGTCTGCAGCCAGCGTAGAGGGGCCCGATAGTGGTCTTACTGAACAAAAGCCTGAGCTGGTGGGGAAAGAAAGGGGCATGAGCAGAAAGGCTGAAGGACAACCCAAGCAGGCATGTGGCGGGGCTGATGGTGGTCGTCGGGGGCCTCTCACCCGGTGCTGGAGGATCCTCTCCGTGGAGTTGAACTTGGAAGAAGCTGGGTGCCCCATGTCTTGAGTATAGTGCAGGTTGGTGATGGTGAAGTTCAGGGTGAAGGACACCAGTGTGGGGCCAGTGGCTGCAGTGGGGGAAGAAGAGAAAAATGTCCAGTTTGGACCATAGTAAGGACCAAGGGTGCCTGGAATTCCAACAGTGGAGCACCAGCAAGGGACCTAAGTATAGCCACGGACTGCAGAAGCTGAAGGAGAGAATGTTACAGGAGTTTTGAGACATTGGGGATTTTCACTCATTCATTCAGCCAGTGTGTATTGGGTATCTAATGTGTGTGAAGCCCTGTGCTGGGCTCTGGGGGTCCAAGGGTGAATAGGGCACAGTCTCCTAATATTGTGGTCAGGAGCGTGGCCAGACCATTATGCTTCAGGGGAGCCAGGAAGGTTTTCAGTCCCAGAGAGGCACCCAACCAAAGACCGAGGACAGCTTCCAGGAGGAAGCATCTTTTCAGGTGTGACTGAAAGCACGAGTAAGAGGTAGGTGAACAGGGTCTGAGCAAGTGGCAGAGTGCTCAAGCAAAAGAATCAGTCTGGGTATGAGCCTGACAGGAGACTGTGCAGTTGCCCTCAAGGGACTCGAATGTTTTCATTATGTCCTTGCGGAAGTATGCAGTGACTATACAGCTCAGGGATTTGGACATGACTTGTAGATAAGGTGGAGTCATCCCAAGATTGTCAATAAGACAGGAATTACGTGGACAGAAGTACATTGGGAGGGCCGTTGGCAGCTACTGTGCAGAGGACTGTAGGAGGGCAGAGTAGAGGCTACTGTACCAGTCCTAGCGAAAAATGCCAGTGGCCTGAATAAAGGCCAAATGACACAGATGCAGTGAAAAGACATGGCGGGATATTATGAAGGGAGAAGAGATGATTTAGTGATGGATAGATGGGAGGTGAGTGGGAAGGAGGGTGAAGGTTGGCACGTGTGTCCCTGCCTTTGGTGATAAGGAAAAGGAGCAAGTTTGGGAGAAGATGGTGACTTTAGGGTCAGAGACTGAGGGGTCAGGTGATGTCCAGGAGGTGGGTGGACCAAGGGTGAGGAGCTGCTGTGTAGAGTGCGCTGGACTCAGGATTAAGATTCTGAGCAGCTAGACCTTGAGCTGTTACGTGGTCCCTGAAACCCACAGAAATGGATGAGTTTCCTCAGGGAAACTAAGTAAGCAATAATGAGGGAAGAAGTGATCTTGAATGGATGATTTTGTAGAAATGATTTGGGTACCAGTAGGACCTTCCTACTTGCGAACTTGAGGGATAGGGCAGAGAGGACGGGGGAAGGTTGCAGAGGTCACAGCAACAGAGAGAAAAGAACACAGGGGATGAAATCAAAGGTGGGTTACACCTATAAAGGAATGATGGCCATGGTGGCAGCTCACGTCACAAACTGTGTGCCTGGCCCTATGCCCCATTCAGCCTGGAGTCAGGGCATCATCCTCTGGTGTGTTGTGCGGGCAGGGAGGGGTGGGTCCTGTGACCTCCAGTTCAGCCCGCACTTCCATTAACATCCTCTGTACTCCTTCCCACCCAGAAGCGGGGGATTAGGAGGCAAGACCTTCCTGGTTCAGCAGCTCCTATCTTTAGGGAAAGGGTGGTGGTCCTAGGCACACAGAAGTCTGAAATACTCACTGTTGGGGGTGGTGGCTGAAGCTGGATGGGTGTAACCTGCGAAGAGAGGGAGTGACAGTGAGGAGGGGAAGGGAGAGGTCCAGAATGAAGAGGCAACTTGGGCTGCTGGAAAGATGGCCACTACATCATCACAGCTGAAATTCTTTAAAAGGAATATGATTATGCACTGGAAGGGGATCCAGGTCTGCTCCACTCCCATCTCCAGACAGACAAAGGACCTGCTTACAGAACTTGGAAATGTGAACCCCCCACTGGAGATCCAAACTCATGCAGAATCCTGCTGCAGTAGAAGCCCTCTCAGCACAGGGGAGGCCCACAGCCCAACACGGCCCCCACCAATGATGTACACTCTGTCACCGTAGAAGCTGGCAGCAAACCAGTGCTTGGGGTGGGGACCTCGTCATCCTGTAGATGCCAGGGACCCGCGCCTATGTCTGGGGCTTTAATGGGTTCACCCGAGGCTGGGGGTGGAGCAGGGTGCGGAGGGCAGGCAGCTGGCTCCTGGCCGCTTCTGTTCTAGGGTTGCAGAGGGACCCACAGGGTTGCAGAGACTTCAGAAGCCTGTGGACACTCACCGCTGGGGGTGGTGGCCTGGGTCTGGCGGGTGTAACCTGCACAGGTAGAGGGAGAAAGGGTGAGGAGGGCGAGTAATGAGCGAAACAATAGAGGGGAGGATGTGGGGACTGTTGAAAGGTGGACACAGATGGCAATCCCTCACCATTGATGTAGAGACTGTCTGGGTCCAGGGTGTAGGGACCCAGCCTGGTGACGCCGTGGGTCAGCTGGCTCAGCTCCTCGTACAGCCGCTCTCTGTCCAGCCCAGGGCCCACGGGGTCAGGGCGATGGGTACAGATGGCATCCACTCCAGTGGCCGCCCCATCCTTCTTGGACCTGGGGGTGGGTAGGGGTAACAATAGATGGAGTCCCCAAGCAGGGCGCCTGGCCCCTCTGGGGCAGGACAGGAAGGGGCCAGAGCAAGCGAGAAGGCTGGCACCCACCTCTGGCCAGCCTGGGGATGTGCACACAGTCAGTGGGTGGGAGGATTTTTATTAAATTGCAGGTCTGAAACCTGCAAGCTGGGGGACAGGAGAGCTCCTACTTGAGACAGGTGAAGAGCTGGAATTTGGGATTAAAGCAGGTGGAAAAGGCATGCTTGTCTTGAGAGGAATCCTGGGGATGGAACTGAAAACCTAAAGGAAATGCCCTCTTTGGTCAAAGGGAGGCAGGAGGGAATTTGGAAGGATGACTAGCCTAGGGTCATATCCTGCTGAGGGGCTCCCTAGAACGTGAGGACAGTTGGTGGGGTTGGGGGTGGTTGCAATCAGAAGAGGCCTTGGTCCTGGAGCCAGTGCTTCCTGAATTCCACCTCTTCTGAGCACATGGACAGAGAAGGCAGGAAGGAAGCAGAGGGAACTCGTGGGGTCTGGGAGCCCTTGAGGTGGTCCTGGCCTGGGATTGCAAGGACTCACCTGAGCAAGGTCAGCCTGCAGCCTGAGTAGAGGGGGCCCACACTGGTGTTCTTGAACAAGGGTCCGAGCTGTGGGTGAAAACAAGGGAAGTAAATAAGTGAATTGAGACGCAGGGGCTGGACGGGCATCGGTGGGTGGGGCAAGAGCGAGGTGGGAGGGGCTAGCTCCCAAGGTCTGGGCTGGAATAGGGGTGGCCTCGCATCAGTAGGCAGGATGAGGCTAGGGGGCGGGGCTGGCAGGGGGAGGTGGGCGGGGCTCTCGCCTGGAGCTCCAGGGACTTCTCTGTACTGTTAAATTTCCAGGAGCCTGGAGGCTGCATGTCCTCCGTATAGTGCAGGTTGGTGACAGTGAAGTTGAGAGTGAATGGCACCAGCGGTCGTCCGGTGGCTGCAGCAGAGGAGGGAGAGGAGATGAGTCAGGCCTGGGATGGGTACGGGGGCAGGGCCTGGGACCCGCAGCTATCTCACCGGAGACCATAGCAAGTGTTGAGGGTCCTTGGGGACCTAGTGCCAGAACCACCCGTGAGGACAACCTGAGACCGTCAAATGCAGCAGGTGAAGGTGGGCAGGATCCGCAGGAGACAGTCTACCAACTAACATTCTTATTTATTCAAGCCTGCCTTCTGGTACTTTCTTCCATCCCTCGACCCCCACGTGGTGGCCATTTCTCCGTGTTCAGCCAACAGCACCGAGGTGATGCATAGCTGAATCGTACTGCAGTGAGCTCCCAGTCTGCATCCCCGACCCCTGCCCTCCCCGACAGCTGGAGGTGTGGGCGGGGGTCTGCTGCTTCTTTCCCTGGTTGGGGGGGGCAGTCTGAAGACCCGCAGTGTACTCACCACTGGGGGCCGTTACTGGTGTCTGGTGGGTGTAGCCTGCGGAGAGAGGACAGGAGAGAGGGGAGGTGCTGAGGTGGAGAAGGGAAAAAAGAAGACAGGGTGGGGGTGGATGGAGGGGTGGACCTTGGGCTTGACAGCTCAGCAGAGCGCACGGGCCGCTGCTCACCACTGACACAGAGACTGTCCTCCTCCAGGGTGTAGTGGCCCAGCCTGGTGACACCATGGGTCAGCCGGCTCAGCTCCCAGTACAGCCGCTCTCTGTCCAGCGCGAGGCCCGTGGGGTCGGGGCGGCGGAAGCAGACGGTGTTCACGCGGGTGGCTGCTCCAGCCTTCTGGGGCCTGGGGAGGGCAGGACCCAGCGGGGCGGATAATTGAGATCCATCTGCAGAGCGTTCTTGAGGGGCACCATTCGGGGGGTACCCTGGGGAAAGCTAGGACGTAGTGGGGCCCCTATGGACGGGTCCCGGAGGCCCGCCACCCACCGTTGAGGGAATTTGCTCCACATTCTGAAAACGGGGCTGATCCCGGGCCTCCCCGCGCTTCACGATCCACTGTCATCACAGCACCGAGTCTCACTTAAAATGGGAATGTTCCCTTGTGAGGAATTTGCTGAAATCCTCTGGCCCCCTACTGCCTGTGGGGGAACCTGGGCTGTGCCCCTCACAACACCCACTTCCCCGCACCCACCGCCCGCCCTGCGCATCCCTCTGCCTCCCTCCTCGCGGGTGAGCGTTTCTGCTCTGTGTGTTCGCTACCCCGAGGCTCTCCACCTGGGCTTCCCTCTCCCCAATCAGTCCTCCTGGCCCAGAGCTGTGTCTCCAGGCCACAGCGTCCTCCTCTCTAGGTATGAGCTGCCACTTCAGTTCCTCCTAGACCCCCTACACTACATATCCCAACCCTTTAACAGTCTCTCTGGGCCTCAGTTTCTCACCTCAAAAATGGGTATAATCATGGCACCCAAGTGTGAGGTTTAAGGTTTAAGTCTGTTGATATTAATATAATGCTTACAATAGTATCTGGTGCATCCCTAAGGGCTAGGGGAGTGTCTGTCACTATTTTATAAATAAAATAGTATAGCATTAATTATACATTTACATATAATTATATAATTAACATATAATTAATGTGTACAAATGTGTTTGCACATGTTTACATATAATTAATATAAGGCACTCTTCTTGATGGCAGAGTCTATGCTCTTGACCTCCATGGAGATTTTGGAGCTCAGCACAAAGCTTGGATACAGTAGGTGCTCAAGCAATATTTGTGGATGGAAAGGAAATTTGTGGAAATCCAGGCAAGGGGAGTGAAGAGACTACTTCTACTGTGGGTGCATCAGCAACCTGGGCTAGGTCCTAAGAAAGAGGGCTTCATTCCATCCATCTCTATTCTAGCATCACAGGGAGGGAATCCTTTCTCTGATTCTATTTTTGGAGGCATGGAAATGTCCTAGGGAGATGCCCGATGAGGCTAAACCCTCCAGAGGACCTCGGAATGGAGAAGCCCATGCATGCTGAGAAGCCCTATCACTAGGTAAAGGGGGGCCGAGTAGCGTGTGTCTGCACTGAAGGGAGCAGGGATTTGAAGGCTGGGGTAATGGGGGAGGGGAGAGATCCTATGGTTCTTCCCGGAGAAAAGAAGCAAAGCAGCTTAGTGGGAAAAGGCATGGACTCTAAGGAGACCGGGCTTGAATCCTGGCTCCACCATTTGGCAATCATCTGCTCTGGGAAAGTTCCTTAACCTGTTTGTGCCTTAACTACTCTGCAAAATAGGGATAATAGTAGTGGTGGTAAGTGAGTCTAGGGAGATGATGGACAGGACGCATTTCACCCAGTGAATCTAACCTGGGGTGCTTTGCATCTCAGGAGACATTTGGCAATGCCTGGTGATAGATTTTGTTGTCAGAACTTTGGGGGCTGGGATGCTATAGGATTCGATCTAGTGGCTAAGATATGGCTAAATATTATATTGTGCAGGGAATGACCGCCCATGACAGTAACTATCTGGCCCAGAATGTCAATAGTGACCATACATCAAGAACCCTGATGTCTGACACATGCTAAGTACTTGCTGTGTGTTCACCTTTAGAAATATTTATATGCGGTGTGGGGTTGGAGGTACACTAGACTGGGGATTGCATCCTTTGTGGAGGTTCAGGGATGCAATCTTTATAAAGGGCTTTGATGCATACTTTCCATTTTCTATGTTCTGTCGTTTTATTCCTACGAAATATTGCATGGGAGATCTGAGGCTCAGGACGATGGGAAGGTCCAGAGCAGGGCCTGGGGGCCCATAACCCAAAGGACAGTGACTACGCCAGGCTGGGAGCTGGAAAGGGCTGAGGCCAAAGGGAGGACCCAGCCCTAAAGGACAATGGTAAGAATATCCACTGTGCCTCACAGGGCCATCTCCTGTGGGTCCCACCTGAGCGAGGTCAGTCTGCAGCCAGAGTAGAGCGGGCCAACACTGGTTTTCTTGAATAAGGGTCTGAGCTGTTGAAGGAGAGGAAGGTGAGTAGAAGGACTGATCTGGACAAGGGCAGGGTTGGGGTGAACTGGGCGGGGCTGGCATCTGTCCGGGGGCAGGGAGAGGTGGACGGGGCATGCAGGAGGTGGGCGGGGCATGGGAGAGGCAGGTAGGGCTGGCATCAGTGGCTAGGTGGACATCAGTGGGTGGTGGAGGGATGGGGTGGGTGGTGGAGGAATGGGGTGGGTGGTGGAGGGATGAAGTGGGTGGTGGAGGGATGAGGTGGGTGGTGGAGGGATGAGGTGGGTGGGGCTCTCACCAGGCTCTGCAAGATCATCTCTGTTTCATTGAACTTGGCAGAGCCCATAAGCTGCATGTCCTCCGTGTAGCGCAGGTTGGTGATGGTGAAGTTAAGGGTGAATGGAACCAGGTCAGGGCCAGAGACTGCAGTGAGGTTGGGAGAGAAGCCATGCCCTGAGTCACTGCCTCAGCTGGATTTAGGGATGGTGGGGTAGAGTCTGGATCCACATCCCTGGTGCCCAGTGTATTCACCTCTGGTGCAAGAGCTCAGAATATCTCTGCCCCAAAGGGAAACTTTGTTATTCTGCTAACAGTAATGATATTAATAATGACACTAAAAATAGCAGTAATAGTAAGACCTGATTTTTGGTAAGAGCCTATTCTGTGCTAAGAACTTTCCATCTAGGGACACGTGGGTGGCTCAGTTCGTTAAGCTGCTGCCTTCAGCTCAGGTCATGATCCTGGGGTCCTGGGATCGAGTCCTGCATGGGGCTCCTTGCTCAGCGGGGAGCCTGCTTCTCTCTGTCTCTGCCTGCTGCTCTGCCTACTTGTGCTCCCACACACCTCTCTCCCTCTCTGACAGATAAATAAACAAAATCTTAAAAAAAAAAGAATTTTCCATATAGTATCTCATATCCTTAAACAAACCCTGGAAGTGAATCCTTTTACTCCAAATGACAGAGGCTGAAAATAAGTTTCAGAGAAGTCAAGTCACTTCCCCAAAGCCACACAGCTATTTTGGGGCGGAAGTTCAGATTCTAGAGTTTGAATCACTTAAACTTAAGTCCTGCCCATCCAGTGGCTGTGTGACCTTAGAAAAACACCCAGCCCCACATGGACCGGTCTTATGTCTCTCCTAAACAGAGAAAGAGCAGTGTCCATCTGCTGGGGTCGAAGACCATACGTGTGAAGCAGAGTGTCTGTGAGGTGACACATGGTCAGTCAATACTGCTCTCACTGCTCCTTACACCTGCTTCCTCTGCTTTAGTCTCTGCCCTTGGGGAATTAGTCCTGGATTTGCCTTTGACTATATCCATTCCATTCGAGCAGAAGTTAAAGCTTTGAAAATTGTTCCAGAATGTATCACTGCATCTAATCTCACTAACTGACCCCATGGGTCCCTAAAGCCAAAAGGGTCACAATCTGGTCCCTGGCAGGCCACCCAGGGTAGCCTATAAATGTGACCACAAATTCTTTACCTCTGTGGACCTGCACCCTTGGTGTGGTCTTATAGCCCCTTCCACGAGTCTATTTCTCTACCTCCTGACTCTGGCTTGGCCCTGACTTGCTTTGGCCCATGCAACAAGAGAAATGTGATGCAAGCAGAAACTTGGGAAGTGCCTATGTACCGAGGCTTGCCCTATCCTGCATCTAGGAAGCCCATGACCAGCAAATGAAGGAGCCAGAGCTAGTCTGCAGGATGGGGAGAGGCCACCTGAAGGAGATGGAGGCACCCTAGCCATCAGTCAGGCCTCCTCCAGCGCAGAGTCAACTAGCTAAGCTTCAGGTGACTGCAGACACATAAGGGAGGCTGGTTCAGACCAGAGGAACCGCCCCGCTGACCTATATACTAGTGAGCAGCAGTAGACGATTGTCTTAATGTGAGGGTCGTCTGTTACATGGTAAACCTAGCTGATACAAAACCTTCACAGAAAGCAAAGGGGGCATTAAAAGGAGTCACTGCTTCAGCCTGGAATGGAAAAGCTAGTCACGGAGCTCCCCAAACCTAGGGATGGAGCTAGACTGGTCAGTGGCGAGGGCCTGATCGGAGGATCCCCTCCTCCACGCCGTCCCCTTGCTTTGAGCTGTGTGTGCGTACTCTCTTTCCCTTCTCACTGCAAAGCACAGAGGTCTGTGTGTGGGGGAAGGAGGGAGCCACGGAGAGAAGGCTCTTACCTGTGGAGCTGGAGAAGGAGATTGGAGCTGCCGAGGTCCCTGAGGATGTGGAAGTCACAGAAACTGAGGAGGAAGCAGCAGAAGAGATGAGGGAGAGAAGGAAGGAAGAGAGGAAGAGGAAGAGAGATGGGGCCCTGTCTCCTTGGAGATGCCAGAGGCAGGGGTGCTTGATGCCCAGCCAGAGTCACAGAAGGCAGAGGTGGGGGAAGGCAGGTGACCAGGCAGCTAAGTCTCCCTTCCTCCCGGAAGTCCTGGGCTTAGGGCAGAGGGAGCAGCTGTTCCCACGAGGTACAGGGGGCATGGAGCCATCCAGGATTTGAGCACTTACCACTGGGGATGGAGGTCGGTGGTGTTCTGGTGTAACCTACAGGGAGTGGATAAAAGGGAGGTGGGATGTTTGAGAAACTTAAGCAGGGGATGAAGGGGCTGGGCCATTGGTGGAACAACAGTTGCCATCAGGAGGTCCTCTCCCTGCCCGACAGTGGGTGGTGCCTCCTATAACATTTCTCTGACCTCCCACCTCCCTGTGAGTGATGTAGCCTTTGGTAGGGAAGGGGGATCTCACAAGGAAAGGAAGAATGAGGAGAGAAAAGTCTAGAGGCAGACATGGATGTATCCCTCTGGCCAGAGAATCAAGAGAATAGAGCATCAAGAGAATAATCCATCTGGGGTGCAGGACAAGACCCCTGTCACCACCAGATGCTCACCGTTGACATAGAGACTGTCCCTGTCCAGGATGTAGGAACCAAGCTGAGTGACACCATGGGTCTGGTGGCTCAGCTCCCAGTAGAGCCGCTCCCTGTCCAGCTGGAGACCGGAGGGGTCAGGTTGGTAGGTGCAGACAGCGTCCACTCCAGTGGCTGTTCCACTCTTTTCAGGCCTGAGGGGAGAAGGACATGGGTATGGGAACAGGACTGAGGGACATCCCTGCCAGGACATCCTTTCATCAGCCCACTTGCATGTGAATGCCTGCTTATCTGCTCTCCTGGTCCAGACATGCGCTGCTCCTAAGAGAAGGGGCATCCTTGTGCAACAAAGGACCAGAGTGGGTATTCCAAAGTCAGATGACCACCAGTTCAAACCTTCGCTCTGTCACTTACCGAATAATCCACGTAAGTGTGCCTGACTCGGTTCTCCCACCTTTGCAGCGTGGATAGTGGTCTAACCCTATTGCTGGAATGTCTTGAGGTTCAGAAATGACTGACATAACACACCTAGCTCTGGTGCCAAATACCCATTAATTAACTGTTTAATAAAACAAATATTCACAGAGCCAAACACTGACAGTCCCTAGCACTGGGGAACAGCTCTGCAGATTCATCAGCTCTTGAAAAGCTGATCCAACCCAATTTTTGGACCTGAGCACCTGAGCATGAGATGCTACATAGCAAAGACCCCCACCCACAGCCCACCTGCTTCCTGTATTCCCAGGTATCTGGGGGAAGGAGGCAGGAAAAATTAATCCTGAAGGGAAAACCTGGGGGATCCTGCAGGTAGCACAGCCAAGGGTATTACTGGGGAGAAACAGAGTATCCCTTGCACGATCAGCAGTGACCTTGAGCCAAGCGCTTCCAGCTCTGGTCTCCTAGAAACTTGATAAAGGTGCAATGTCAGTTGTGTTGACTGGTGATGTTGCTTATGGTGAAAATGACCCCTTGTTGATGACTGTGTCTTTTCTGGGAGGGCGGAAAATGGACAAGAATACCTTGCAGGAGGTTCTAGCTTTGGGCTTCCTTAGGTATGGTAAACCTCTTAACTGCTCAGGACGCTTACAAGAGATATTGGTTACCTTTTGGGACCTAAGACATGTAAGGCGTCTATCCACTGAGGTCACTTTTTCCCTTTTTAAAAATTTAATTTAATTGTTTAAATTTAAGTTAAAGTTAACATATAGCATATTATTCGGTTCAGGGTAGAATTCAGTGATTCATCAGTTGCATGTAACACCCAGTGCTCATCCCATCCTGGGTCCTCCTTAATGCCCATCCCCCAGTGAGCCCATTTGCCCACCCCACCTCCCCTCCAGCAACCTCCACTGAGGTTGTATTTCTTTGCACATTAACTGTCACCCGGATGCCAAAAGAATAGTCCTTAGACTGCCAAGAAGGCTCTTACAAAAAAAAAGAATGCCCTGTGCTACCCGCTGACATGTCCTTTCCTGTCTGTGTATGGCCCTATTCAGGTCACATAAGCCTGATTCTCTGATTGGGCTTAAGATAACCTAGAGAGGGGAGCACAGGGGACTGGCACCAGAGCTGGGAACTGTGTGAGACCAGCAAGGTGCCTGGATACGGTATCTAAGGGAGTGCTTACTCTCGGGGCTGTGCAGAGGCAGGGCTAACCCTGAGGGTGAACAGTTCCTTCAAGTCTCTGCCCTAGGCATCTTGCTTGCTTCCCTAGTCTGGGCCCCTGGCCAGTCCAACCCAACGAGCCCACACCTGCCTGCACCTCCTAACACCAGACAAAGAGGAGGTCTCACCTTAGCGTGGTCACTCTGCAGCCAGTGTAGAGTGGCCCAATGCTGCTGTTGGCAAACAAGGGCTTGAGCTGAGGAGGAAGAAGCAGGTGAATGAAAAAGAAGTGGAAAAGCAACCGCCATTTTAAAACACAAGATTTTCAGATAAAACAGCAGTTCTCCAATCATCTCAGTACGACACTGAATTCTCAGAAGAACCCTTTGTGTTCAAGGCTTCTCTTGTCTCAGTGTACAGAGGAGGAAATGGTACCGAAAAGGCAAGATCATGACTCCAAAGGGACGTCACTGGCCTGTGGCAGTTCCAAGTTTTGAACCCAGAAATAGTCTGCTCTTTAAGCCCTCTGTATCCTCCAAAAGGGTAGTAAGGAAACTCAGAGAGGGTGGGGAGGGAGTCTGAGAAGAGGGATGGGTAGAAGAGGGCCCTCACCAGGCCTTGTAGGACTGACTCTGTAGAGTTGAACTTCGCAGAGCCCGGCCGCATGGCCTTCGTGTAATGCAGGTTGATGATGGTGAAGTTGAGGGTGAAGGGCACCGGGGCAGGGCCAGCAGCTGCAGTAGGGCAGGAGGAAAAAGAGGCCATGCCCTGAGTCAGGCCTGGACCAGAAGTGGGGTAAAGGCCCCTGGGACACAAGCCCAGCCTGCTCAGAGGACCCCATCATCTCGGCGATACCAAGGAGAGGCTGTCCTCTCCTGGGACTCCCTTGAGTCCCATCTGGGCCTGGAGATAGGGGGTGGGGGGTGGGGAATGGAGGTAGTGGTTTATTCTGTCTTTGGTCATGGTCTTGTCATGGTCTCTGGCTTTGGCCACATAGGGAAAGGGAAGATGCTGGTGTCTGGGTGTTACATAAAGAGCCAGACATGGTGTCCGCCTATGGGTTCATGGGGTATTTAATTCTTCACAGTGGGCTGGGACCCGTGAGCTCAAAAGCCTGCCAGGACAGGCTTTTTTTTTTTTCCCCCCCAGCTGCCATATATCTTTTTATTTTTTTAATTTATTTTTTAAATTTTATTTTCTGTTTCCAGTGTTCCAAGATTCATTGTTCATGCACCACACCCAGTGCTCCATGCAATACGTGCCCTCCTTAATACCTATCACCAGGCTCACCCATCCCCCCATCCCCTACCCTCCCAAACCCTCAGTTTGTTTCTCAGAGTCCACAAACTCAAATTTTTATATCCAGATGTGTGTGTGTCTGTGTTTTTTAAAGATTTTATTTACTTATTTAAGAGAGAGTGAGCAAGCAAGAGAACGCACAAGAGGAAGAGGGGGGAGGGACAGAGGGAGAAGCAGGCTCCCCACTGAGCAGGGAGCCCCCATTGCTCCTAGACAGGAGGATATCTTCTCTGACCACTCCCTTCCCCTGGAGTCCCCTTGCCCTTCTCCCCTTTTGAGTAGGGATCCCTCCTCCCAGAAATCCCTCAAAACCCCTACTTGGGGTTGGACTGGAAGAATAGGTGAGAAACCCATAGCTCAGGACCATAAGACTATCTTGGCTTGACCAGTTTCTCCCGCCTACCAGGGCCTCTTTGAAGACCACCCCCTACCCCCCAGACAGGTTCAGCCTTCAATGCCGAGTTTGAAAATTTGCCTCAGGAACAATTTGCCCACTAACAATTTTCCCCCAATGTATTCATTTAATAAGAGTTACGTTGTGAATAATTCCTTTCAAGAATATTCTTATACAAGACAAAATCAGAGAGGGAGACAAACCATAAGGGACTCTTAACTCTAGGAAACAAACTGAGGGCTGCTGGAGGGGAAGTGGGGAAGAGGGTTGGGGGGATGGGGTCACTGGGCGACAGGCATTAAGGAGGGTACAAGACTTAGTGAGCACTGGGTGTTGCATGTAACTGAGGAGTCACTGAATTTTACCTCGGAAACTAGTAATACACTATAGGTTAATTAGTTGAATTAAAATAAAATAAAAGTAGAAATAAAAAAAGAATATTCTTACTCAAAAGTATATTTAAAGTAAGCAGGCAAAACCGGCTTCTGTCTTTAAAAATCAATGTCCTAGCTATATGCAGAAGAATGAAACTTGACCATTCTCTTACACCGTACACAAAGATAAACTGAAAATGGATAAAAGACCTCAACGTGAGACAGGAATCCATCAGAATCCTAGAGGAGAACATAAGCAGTAACCTCTTCGATAACAGCCACAGCAACTTCTTTCAAGATATGTCTCCAAAGGCAAAGGAAACAAAAGCGAAGATGAACTTTTGGGACTTCATCAAGATCAAAAGCTTCTGCACAGCAAAGGAAACAGTCAACAAAACAAAGAGAGAATGGGAGAAGATATTTGCAAATGACAGAACAAAGAGAGAATGGGAGAAGATATTTGCAAATGACAGTACAGACAAAAGGTTGATATCCAGGATCTATAAAGAACTCCTGAAACTCAACACACACAAAACAGACAATCATATAAAAAAGGGCAGAAGATATGAACAGACACTTCTCCAATGAAGACATACAAATGGCTATCAGACACATGAAAAAATGTTCATCATCACTAGCCATCAGGGAGATTCAAATTAAAACCACATTGAGATACCACCTTACAACACTTAGAATGGACAAAATTAGCAAGACAGGAAACAACATGTGTTGGCGAGGGTGTGGAGAAAGGGGAACCCACTTACACTATTGGTGGGAATGCAAGTTGGTGCAGCCACTTTGGAGAACAGTATGGAGATTCCTCAAGAAACTAAAAATAGAGCTTCCCTATGATCCTGCCATTGCACTACTGGGTATTTACCCCAAAGATACAGATGGGAGTGAAAAGAAGGGTCATCTGTACTCCAATGTTCATAGCAGCAATGGCCACGGTCGTCAAACTGTGGAAAGAACCAAGATGCCCTTCAACGGACGAATGGAGAAGGAAGATGTGGTCCATATACTCTATGCAGTATTATGCCTCCATCAGAAAGGATGAATACCCAACTTTTGTAGCAAGATGGACAGGACTGGAAGAGATTATGCTGAGTGAAATAAGTCAAGCAGAGAGAGTCAATTATCATATGGTTTCACTTATTTGTGGAGCATAACAAATAGCATGGAGGACAAGGGGAGATGGAGAGGAGAAGGGAGTTGAGGGAAATTGGAAGGGGAGGTGAACCATGAGAGACTATGGACTCTGAAAAACAATCTGAGGGTTTTGAAGGGGCGGGGGGTGGGAGGTTGGGGGAACCAGGTGGTGGGTATTAGAGAGAGCACAGATTGCATGGAGCACTGGGTGTGGTGCAAAAACAATGAATACTGTTACGCTGAAAAGAAATAAAAATAGGGGCCCCTGGGTGGCTCAGTGGGTTAAAGCCTCTGCTTTCGGCTCAGGTCATGATCCCAGGGTCCTGGGATCGAGCCCCGTATCGGGCTCTCTGCTCAGCAAGGAGCCTGCTTTCCTTCCTCTCTCTCTGCCTGCCTCTCTGCCTACCTGTGATCTCTGTCAAATAAATTAAAAAAAAAAAGAAAGAAAAAGAAATTAAAAAAAATGTCCCAATAAAAACAGGGTGGTATGTGGCATTATTCTAAATTTAGACACTAAAAAGACAACCACCTAATCAATATGGAAAGCTTGACTAAATCCTGGTTTGAAAAAAGCCACCTACACAAGGGAGACATAGGGAAAATGTGAATATGAACTGCATGCTAGATGACACCAAATTATTCTTATTTTTTGAAGCATGGTAATGCTACTACAGTTACATTAGGCAATGTCCTGATTTTGTGACAGTTCTTGCTGAAATCCTTAATAGTGAAGCATTGTGATATTTGCAAGTTTCCTATGGTTCAGGAAAAAAAATTATGTCTACCGCTTTCTAGAGTCAGTTCTGCCATAATGCTTGTTTTGAAAACGCAATTCTTCAGGGTCATTGAGACATTAGGGAACAAAGTGAGCATTATGTAAATTTCCCATTTGGGCATGTGTAATTCTGTCTGCAAGACACACAAAAGGAACACCAGTTAAACCCAGAACCCAGCTGAACCTAGCTCTGTGGACATACACAAAACGCACACACACAGCTCAACCCTCTAGGGGGGTTACGCTTACCCACCTTGGGTTCCCAGTTTCTGTAGGATTTCGGGCAACCCTCCTGAACTTCACAATTACTCACCAGCTTCAATCTTGTTTGCTGACATGACTACTTGTACAACAAATGTCAGATCTCTTTCTGGGAAAAGTGCTATATTTACTGCAGTAATTTATGTTGTATTTCTTAACCATTTAACATAAGTAAAACTGTGCTGTTTTATTAGAGGTCTGGTTTTTTTTTTTTAATGTCACTGACAAGGTTTTTGGGTGTTGAGCCCCAACCTCAGCACTGTGCTCTTCTCCAGTGTGTGATTTTGCATAGCATAGTTTGGGGACATCCATGCCGTATCATAACAGAACTATGTACAAGAAGCAAGAAAGACAGAAGGTCAACCACTGTGGTGGACAGATGGATGTTCCTCGCACTATTTTTTCAATGTTTCTGCTACTTTTGACAGTTTTCATAATAAAAAGGGGTGGGGGGGGACAAACATACACAAAATATTCATGAAAAGTGGAAATAACCCCATGGTCCCTAGACTTTGACAGATAAATAATGAATCTTGGAACACTGAAAAATAAAATTAAATTTAAAAAATTTCTTAAAGTGCCACTAAAATGAAATGATTACATGCATTGACTCTGGTCAGGGAGACAATGTATATTCATAAGGAACAAAGTCATAAAGATGTTATAAAAAGAATAAAGTCATATCTATTGAATATATTCACAGAGACTCTTCCTTAAAACAAGCGGTTGGTAAATCAGTTAACTGGGGACACTGAAGAAGAATCAATCCTTTACTGAGTTGGCTTTGGCAAACCGGCCACTGGACAAATCTATTATCAGTGAACCAATCTGTACTCTACTTTCCATGGGATGCAGGATGATTGGGAAGTCAGGGGTCACCTATAGGTTTCAGACAGGTTACGGAGAATGGCTCAGGACTCCCAGTGCTGGGAGTGGGATTGGTGTTCAAGAAATCCCCAGGACCTGGGTAGTGCCCAGCAGATTCTCAAGAGTTGGCCTTGGGCTCCCCCAAGAGATGCCACCCATTCTACTTCTCCTCCCATGTCCTGGGATTAGGGCCCAGCAGGAATAGTTGGGAGCCTCTTCAGAGGAGAGAATGCCTACCTGTGGGACTGGAGAAGGAGGCTGGCACCCCTGCAGAAACTGTGGCCACCATAGAAGCTGGAGAGAAAAAACCCAAGAGCTTAGGGGTGGGGATTCCTCACCCTGGGGATACCAGCGAGGGGGTGGTCATGCCAGGCAAATTCTTGGGCATAGGTTCACCCGAGGCTGGGGGTGGAGCAGGGGTATGGAGGGCAGGCAGCTGGCTCCTGGCCGCTTCCATTCTAGGGTTACAGAGGGAACCACAGGGTTGCAGAGACTTCGGAAGCCTCTGGACACTCACCACTGGGGGTGGTAGCCTGGGTCTGGTGGGTGTAACCTGCACAGGTAGAGGGAGAAAGGGTGAGGAGGGCGAGTAATGAGCGAAACAATAGAGGGGAGGATGTGGGGACTGTTGAAATGTGGACACAGATGGCAATCCCTCACCATTGATGTAGAGACTGTCTGGGTCCAGGGTGTAGGGACCCAGCCTGGTGACGCCGTGGGTCAGCTGGCTCAGCTCCTCGTACAGCCGCTCTCTGTCCAGCCCAGGGCCCACGGGGTCAGGGCGATGGGTACAGATGGCATCCACTCCAGTGGCCTCCCCATCCTTCTCGGGCCTGGGGGGTAGGTGGGTAGGGGTAACAGTAGATGGAGTCCCCAGGCAGGGCGCCTGGCCCCTCTGGGGCAGGACAGGAAGGGGCCAGAGCAAGCGAGAAGGCTGACACCCACCTCTGGCCAGCCTGGGGATGTGCACACAGTCAGTGGGTGGGAGGATTTTTATTAAATTGCAGGTCTGAAACCTGCAAGCTGGGGACAGGAGAGCTCCTACTTGAGACAGGTAAAGAGCTGGAATTTGGGATTAAAGCAGGTGGAAAAGGCATGCTTGTCTTGAGAGGAATCCTGGGGATGGAACTGAAAACCTAAAGGAAATGCCCTCTTTGGTCAAAGGGAGGCAGGAGGGAATTTGGAAGGATGACTAGCCTAGGGTCATATCCTGCTGAGGGGCTCCCTAGAACGTGGGGACAGTTGGTGGGGTTGGGGGTGGTTGCAATCAGAAGAGGCCTTGGTCCTGGAGCCAGTGCTTCCTGAATTCCACCTCTTCTGAGCACATGGACAGAGAAGGAAGGAAGCAGAGGGAACTCTTGGGGTGTGGGAGCCCTTGAGGTGGTCCTGGCCTGGGATTGCAAGGACTCACCTGAGCAAGGTCAGCCTGCAGCCTGAGTAGAGGGGGCCCACACTGGTGTTCTTGAACAAGGGTCCAAGCTGTGAAGGAGAGGGGAATGAGTAGAAAGTCTGAGGGGTGGAGAGCGGGGTGGACATGAGATGGGTGGGGCTGGTGCCAGTGGGTGGGGCTTGAATGAAGCAGCACAGGTGAGGTAGGTGGGGTCTTTGTGGGTATGGCAGAGAGCCGGGAGGTGGTGCTTCAGCGGACAAGAGAGGAGTGCTACGGGCGGGGCACTCACCAGCCGCTGCAGGTTTCTCTGGGTGCTGTTGAACCTCCAGGAACCAGGGCGACTCATACCTTCCTGGTGCTGCAGGTTAGTGATGGTGAAGTTGAGAGTAAACGGCACCAGGGCAAGACCAGTGGCTGCAGTGGGAGCAGGAGGAAGACACCAGAGAGCCTAAGTATGGGTCATCCCACATCTGTCTCTTCAAGCACTGGCGAGGGGTTTCCTTCCAGATGGGCAGTTTCCATAGGAAGGAAATCCCAGACATTAGCATTACGTGAGGGGCTCTGGGGATGAGTGTGGAAAATTACAGAATGGAGGTAAATGCACCCTTACACAGAAAGCAGTTGGCTAAAATTCTTGATAGATATCCCGTTTTTCTGAGGGTTTTTTAACCCAAATTTTTTCTGTGAGATCCAATTATTTACTGATTTTTAAAGATTTATTTGAAGAAATATATTGCAGTTTGTTTGGGTCAGGCCCTGTTTTAAGTGCTTCACTTAAATTTTAACCCATTTAAACCTTGAGGTAAACCCTTCAGAGGGAGATAGTATTCTTATCCCCATTTCACAGAAGTAAATACTGAGCCCAAGGATAGTTAAAGAATCTGCCTGCAGTCACACAATCTCTAAAGGGCAGAGCACAGTTCAAACCTGGGTGTTGTGGTCACAGAGTCTGTGCTCCTAACCCATCCACCCAAGCACTAAGGGCGGGTCCACACAGTGACCTGCTCACTCTGGCCTGAGTGGTCAGTGGTCAGAACACCTTCAAGAGGCCTTTGCTGCTGAGTAACTAGAGACTCAAGTAAGACAGCATTAGTAATGATGGGTCACCCAGGACCCTCAGTAGGGTCAGCGGGTGATATCAAAATCTACCTTGGGCCACTGAGATGCCAAGAATGGGAAGTTATCCCTTGGCCCAATCAGAGTCTGCCCAATTGGAGTCTCTAACAGGGACTTGTAAGAGGGCATTTTCAGGTACACATGTAGCTCACTCTGCTCCCTTCTTTCTTGGAAATGAAAAACAAGTACTCAGGAGAGAGGACGCCCCCGCCACACCTGCAGAACTCACCCCACAATCATGCTGATTGTAATTCAATTCTTATTTGTATACTCAAGTCCTTATTCTCTTTCTTGCCGGAAACCCATCAAAGACTAGGGTCCTTTCTATTCTGTTCACTGCTGCCTTACCAGGGCCCTTCACCTGGTAAATGAATGGGCTAAATGAATGCTTCTTGAGTGAAAGAATGAATGAATGAATGGGCATGGTACTCCATGTGATACCTCCCATTGGCCAAGTGTAGGAGACCTTTGCAAGAGAGGAAAGACAGAGAGGAAGCTCCTACCTGTGGGGGCAGGGATGGGGGTCATTGAGGTTGCTGGGGATATGGTAGAGGCTGGTGAAAAAAAAAACACAGTGAGGCAAATATGGCAGGAGGGAGGGCCTCCCCAATGACACAGGGCCCATCGTGGGTCCATGAGACTCTCCTCAGGCCTGTGCCAGGCTTGTCTTTTCTGATCCTGGGAGTGAAGATGGGGGGAACCCTGGAGCTTTCCAGGCTCTTTGTGTCCCTGGGGACATGGGGTAGGTATAGCGAGCAGGAGAGACGGGCTCCAAGGCAGAGCAATGCTAGGGCCCAAATTACTACTCACTGCTGGGGGTGGAGGTCAGGACCTGATGGGTATAACCTGCAGAACGACAGGAAGAGAAAGTATGAAGAGTTGTAAGGATGGGGTAAGGAAGGGAGTGGCAAAAATCTGGGGTTCCTTGGGTGTCTATGAATCTATTTATGTAAGCTGCATTTGGAGAGCACCCTCAAATTGCAGACCCAGTAGACAAAGTCCAGAAAATTCCACCGAGACCTAGGGAGGAATTCTCTACCAGGTCATCCACAGACTATCTCTCTGCCACCTGCGACCCTCCTCTTCTTCGAGTGTTTGATCCCTCAGTGAATCCCCAGAAGAGCTGTGAATGTACACTTCCTCTGCAGGCCAAACTCACTACTGACTTTTCCTGGACACTGGTCAGGAGGAGATGTGAACAGGCTTGACCAAGCTGAGCTTGAGTCATGACCCAGCTGAGCTTGAGCAGTCTCCCAACTCATGAATGCCTTCCAGGAAAACCAGAGAGCTTTCCACCCATCAAGGAACCTAATTTCCTTGAATTCTGTCCCACAATCCCACGGCAACTTCAACTGAATTGGTAGCAACTGCCTAGGGTATTTCGTTGGTAAGGATTCTCAAGCTGCTTTGAACTCGGAAAGAATGGAGGCTATTACCATTTAGTGATGTCTGTCATGGACGAGGGATTGGGAAGTGATGGCACAGATGTCAGATATTTGTCCTGGACATAATCTGAGAGTCATTAAAGATTTGAACAAGGACAAGGAGGGAATATTTCCACATATTACAAGGAAGTGTATTTCATTCCTTCTAATCCTGAGAAAATCCACATACTTCCTGTGGACTTACCAAGCACAAATAACCTAACGACACCTTCATTATCATCACCATCACTATTATCATCACCATCACCATTATCATCACCATCACCATCATCACCACTATCATCATCACCATCATCATCATCACCACCACCATCATCATCAACACCACCACTACCATCATCACCACCATCACCACTATCACCACCACCATCACCATCACCATCACCACTACTACCATCACCATCACCACCACTACCATCACCATTACCACCACTACCATCATCATTACCACCACTACCATCATCATCACCACCACTACCATTATCATCACCATCATCATCATCATCATCACCACCACTACCATCACCACCATCACCAACATCACCATTATCATCATGATCACCACTACGATCATTATCATTATCACCATCACCACCATTACCACCATCATCAACATCACCATAGTCATCATTATATATAGCTTTATGAAGGCAATGACTTTTTTCTGTTTTGTGTTCCCTGCTGTATTCCCCAGGGCCAGGCACAGAGGAGATGCTCAATGAAGGTTGTTGACTGATTCATTATCACTAGATTTATTACGACTTTCCATCTTTATTTGAATGAATAATGTCGAATGTGTTTACACTCCTCAGGTCTCCTCTAACAGATGTGCCATTGACTGGTACTTACCCATGGGGCTGGAGCTGGGAAAGGAGGATGGAGTCCCAGAGGTTCCCAGGTGCACTGTGGAGGTCCCTGGAGCTGAGGAAAAGCTCTCATCAGTGAAAGGAGAAAGGCAACCACATGGCAGAAATGCCAACAAGAGAGACTACTTATTAGGCTTTCATGTGGGGCTTGAACTGAGATTCCCTTTGGAACTGGGGCAGAGAGGATAGTAAATAACTTGTGGCTTCCCAGGAGCTCTGTCCCTCCTGGAGGTGACATAAGCAGGCATAAGGAGGCATCAAGGCTTTGCCTACTCTGTGTGTTGAGGGGCCCTGGGTCATAGTTGAATACTCACTGTTGGTGATGGGTGCAGAGCTCTGATGGGTGAAACCTGCAGGGAGAGGGAGAGGGTATTGTAGGTAAGGGTTAAGGAAGAGGTGGAGGACCAAACAAGAGGCAGAGCTACCCTGGAGCAGTGGAGGGGGTTCTAGCAGAGGGTGCTATCATCTTTCTCCATCAGCACCTCTTGGGAAGGAAGGCTCTGAGGGTGAAGTCAGTCCAAGACGAAGAGGAAACCATGAATGAGCACACAGGGTGCGCGGGGCCAAGCCCTGAAGGGCCCCACAGGGGATGCCTTCTCAAGCCAAAGGACAGAGGCTGCCCAAGGAGGGAGAAGAGACTCTGACCACATCACGGTGCTCACCATTGACATAGAGACTGTTCCTGTCCAGGGTGTAGTGGCCCAGCAGGGCAATGCCATGGGTCAGCTGGCTCAGCTCCCAGTATAGCTGCTCTCTGTCGAGTCCCAGGCCTTCAGGGTCAGGGCGATGCATACACATGGCATCCACTCTGGTGGCTGCCCCATCCTTCTCAGGCCTGGGTAAGAATCATCACATAGTTGGTCTATCTCTCTCTCTCTCTCTATTGGTCCTTCCCTCTCTCTCCTTGCCAGCCCCTAAGGCCGAAACTTGGGAAACCCTAGGTAACAGAAGCTGCCGCCATGAGGGAGACGCCCTCCATAAACAGCTAGCTTCCTGCATGACTGGGAGAGGAGTCTCTGAAAGCCCTGGTGCGTGGCAGAACACAGAGGGTATGTTGATCGGGTGAGCAATCCTGGAAGGTGCCACCTGCAGCCGCAACAGCTACATCCCGTCACAGGTCTTGATGGGCACAACAAGGTGCCTGGGGGTCATGCTGCAATGGGTGTTGGTGGCCCCAGGACAGGGACTGCAGCATGGTTTGGTGACATTTTCCTGTAGAGAGCTGGGGTTTTCAAATAGTGAGATTGAAAAGCTAAAGTCACTGAGTCTGGATGCAGGGCTGGGGCATTTCTAAAGACTCAACAGACTAAATGGCTGGAGAGACACACAGGCCCTTTGGGTGGGTCTGTCTGAAAGCGTGACCTGTCCATGTCTCAGCACCAGCTCTGCCACAGGACACTGACCCACCTACATGCCCACCCAGCCACACACTCCTGAGAGATATGGAGAGAAAGGTGCTCCCACACTCCAGGGCCATGGATAGAATGTCTCTTATAATAACAACCACCCCTTGTTAAATTCTGAGCACGCAGCTGGCCCAGAACTTTGTACTCAAGATCGCAGAACCTAACCCTCAGAGCGTCCCTGTGGGCTGTATTGCTCAACTCCCACAGTTGTCACTATACCCATCACACTATATATCATACACAATGCAATTAGACATAATATAATATAATGATCTATTTAACATGTAAGTATATGACATAGATTTGTTATATATTTATTTTGTTTAATAAATTAAACAAAAATATTAAAAAATATTAAAAAATTTAAAAAAAATTAAACAAAAAAATAAATTAATTTATTATTGTACTAGATGTTATACCTTTTGTACCTATTCCTAATATATAGAATGGATAATATATATTAGGGTTCATATCTATACATATCATATATAAAAGATATTATACCTATACATAATATACCTATATATAACATATATAACATAAGCCTGTATATAAAGTATAGGTATAATTATATATTATACCTGTTTATCATATTATCTATACTTAGGTAATATATATATGATATATAATATACATTAGGAATTATACCTATATATGTCATATATATTAGATATTATACCTACATATAACATATTATACCTATTATGTCTATATATAATATGTATAATATATACCTATGTATTAAGTATAGATATAATTATATATTATACTTATTATACCTATATACATAATATATATTATATATAGGCCTATATATTATAGTTATATATATTATATATAGGTATAATGTATATATATAGTTGTATATATTTTATATATATATGGTATAGATATAAGATATACTATAGAATTGTACCTATTCTTTCTCTCTCTCTCTGTTTGTGTGTGTATGTGTGTGTGTATACAGTTAACTTTTGAACAACATGGAGGTGAGGAGTACCAACACCCAACACAGTTGAAAATCTGCATATAATTTTTGACTTCCCCAAAACTTAACTACTAATAGAATGCTGCTGACCAGAAGCCTTACTGGTAACACAATTAACATATTTTTTATGGTATAAGTATTATATACTATTTTCCTACAATAAAGTAAGCTAGACAAAAAACGTTAAGAGAATCATGAGGGAAAATACATTCATAGCACTACAGTATATTTACCAAAACAAAATCCATGTATACGTGGACCCATGCCATTCAAAACCACGCAACCCAAGGGTCAAATCTTTCTCTCCATATACACACATATGTTCATGTGCATATGTTATGTATGGGCCTAATATATCATAGACATAACACACAGAGTCATGGGGCACAGCAAGGTTCAGGCACCTGCCCAGGATCTCAGCAAATGGCAGAGCTGGAGTTTGAGCTCTGCTCTGGCTTCCCCAAGGCTCTTGGCCACTAGGCTCTTCTGCCCGCTCTTCCCCCAGGAAGGAAGGAGAGCTGGAGGTAGATGCCTGTGATCAAACGGGAGTGTGAGGAGAGCCAGACCTAGAAATTCTAGAGAGATATGGGAGGTGAGAATGCCAGGTATGGAATGGTGTCAACCACCCGCCTCCCCCACTCCCAGCTGCCCCCAAGGGATGGCGTCCTCCACAAGCCTGATCCATTCTAGGGCAGGTCAGACCTCCCATGAGTCTGAGCCATCTAGGAGCCCATGTTCGCTCTGCAACAGTGTGCTTGCTTTCCTTCCTTCTTTGATTCTTCCCTCTTAGAGGTTGCCAGATAGGTGATTTCCACATGCTGCCAGGTCATAATGAGGCAGAGGAAGGCAGCGCTGCTTAGGAGCTAGGACTTGGGCTCTAGAACCTGCAGGGCAGGTTCAATCCCTCTGAGCCTGTCGCACCTTTGATTCCTGCTCCACAAGGCTGTCCTGAGGGCTGGCAGGGTGAAATGGAAGGTACTAGCCCAGTGCCTTGGATCTTAGGAATTGCTAGAGGCTGGGGTTGTTACTGTTGATGATGGTGTGTGGTACCCATTGGCAGTAGTTGTCCCAAGTATGGATGAAGTCAGGGAGCCCATAGATGAAGGTCCCATACATCTGCTGGGCTGTGTTCTTGGGGAGAGAGACTCACCTCAGGGAAGCCAATCTACAGCCTGAATAGAGGAGTCCCAGACTGCTATTCCTGAACAGGAGTTTGAGCTATGAGAAAGGAGAGGGGAGGTGAGAAGGAACCCTTGAAGGAGGCCATGGGGAGCTGGGGTATTGGTGAAGTGAATGGGACAGAAATGATATGGGCATGGGTAGGGGCAGAAGTGAGGTGCAGGGCTGGCGCCGGTGGGCGGGGTGGGGTCATGTGGGGCGGGGCTGGCACCGGTGGGCGGGGCTCTTACTAGACCCTGCAGGATCTTCTCCGTGGAGTTGAATTTCCAAGAGCCTGGACGCCGCATGCTCTCTTCGTAGTGCAGGTTGGTTATGGTGAAGTTGAGGGTGAACGGCACCAGGAAGGGAACAGCTGCTGTATCAGGGGAAGGGAAAAGGAGGCCATGCCTGAGTCAGGCCGGGGCTGGTCTCTAAGACAACTTCTGGGGACAGGGATGGAGGACCCAGATATTGGGAAGCAGGGGGTCAGAGTAGGCACATAGGCCAGCTGCCTTAGGACCAAAGACAGATATCAGATAAAGAGCAAAGCCAGATGCTATTAAATGCAGTACATTTAATTAAAATACAGCACATCTACTGGGATATTAGGTTATTACAGAAAGAGAAAGAGAAAGAATGAAGGCAGGCAGGCAGGCAGGCAAAAATAAATATTGGCAAAGATGTGCAGAAATTGGAATCCTCGTGCATTGTTGGTGGGAATGCTGGTAGAGCGGCTATAGAAGACAATCTGGTTGTTCCTCAAAAAGCTAAATATGGGATTATCATATACCTAGCAATTTTGTTCCTAGGTATAGACTCAAAAGAACTGAAAACAGGGACTCAGATCCTTGAATAAAAAATGTTCACAACAGCATCCTTCACAATAGCCAAAAGGTGGAAACAACCTGAGCCCATCAGCAGAGGAATGGATAAACAAAAGACGGCATATACATGCAGTAGAATAATAGTCAGCCATAAACATGAGGGAAACTCTGACACCTGCTACATCACGGATGAACCGTGAAAATACTACACTAAGTGAAATAAAACAAACATGGAAGGACAACTATCGTATGGTTCCACTTCCAGGGGGCACTTAAAATAGGCAAATTCGTGGAAAAAGAAAATAGACTAGAGGTAACCAGGGGTAGGGGTTATAGGGAATTAGTGTTCGATGGGAACAGAGTTTCTGTTTGGGGTAATGAAGAATTCCTGAGAATGGATAGTGGTGAGTGGCATGACATTGGGACTGTCACTAAATTGTACACTTAACAGTGGTTAAAATGGTAAATTCTATGTTATGCATAAAATTGTTTAATTCAGCAATTGGGTCAAAATGCAGGTCATGGGGCTCTTGAGTCTGGATGTGGGCCAGGGTAGGTGGCAGGGGTTGAGGTCTTGGGCCCTGGTGAGGCTCTAGACTGGCCCTTGATAGCCTTTACTTGAGAAGTTAAAAGTAACAGGATTGGAGCTATCTCATGGATTAGGGGGGAAAGAAAAGGAAAAAAAAAATCAGTTAAGTCCCATCCAACACAGAAGAAACATTCTCTTTTTAATATGAGTCAAACAACAATTCTTTTTTTTTAAAGATTTTATTTATTTCACAGAGAGAGATCACAAGTAGGCAGAGAGGCAGGCAGAGAGAGAGATAGAGGAGGAAGCAGGTTCTCCGCTGAGCAGAGAGCCCGATGCGGGACTCGATCCCAGGACCCTGAGATCATGACCTGAGCCGAAGGCAGAGGCTTAACCCACTGAGCCACCCAGGTGCCCCTCAAACAGCAATTCTTAAAGGAGGTCTCCTGTCTTCTGCTCAACCTCCCTACCCCGCCCACCCCATAACTCTCAGGACTTGACCTTTCATAGAGACCATGCATAGAGCTGTGGTTACTATGATTACCAACCACCACACTATAGTGAGTTGGACTTGGTTTCAAATTCGCTCTGTCCTCTCCCCAGGAGACGTGACCATGAACACTAAACCTGTCTGTATGGTAGTCCCCTTTAACTGCAGCTTCATTTTCCATGGTTTCAATTATCTGGGGTCAACCACAGCCTTGAAGCAGATGGTCCTCCTTCTGAGGCATCATCAGGAGATCAGTAGCAGCCTAACACTACATCATTCATCTCACCACATCTCATATCCTAGGCATTTCATCATCTCACGTCATCACAAGAAGAAGGGTGAGTACGGCACAATTAGGTATTTTGAGAGAGACCACATTCGCATAACCTTTATGACAGTATATTGTTATAATTGTTCTAGTTTTTTAAAGATATTATTTATTTATTTGACAGACAGAGATCACACGTAGGTAGAGAGGCAGGCAGAGAGAGAGGGAAGCAGGCTTCCCACTGAGCAGGGAGCCCCATGTGGGACTCGATCCCAGGACCTTGAGATCATGACCTAAGCGAAGGCAGAGGCTTAACCCACTGAGCCACCCAAGCACTCAACTGTTCTGTTTTATTATTAGTTATTGCTTTAATCCCTTCCTGTGCCTAGTTTATAAATTAAACTTTATCATAGGCATGTATGCATAGGAAAACACATGTACATATAGGGGCCCGTACTTTCCATGGTTTCGGGTATCCACTGGGGGTCTGGGAACAAATCCCCCATGGATAAGAGGGGACCACTCTTCATTTCCTCATACCTTCATTTCCTCTACTATAAAATGGGGGAATAGCTTACTTTGTAGAGAAATTCTAAAGATTAACTGGCTGCTTGTTAAAAGAGTTAGTATGTTTTAAGGGCACTGTGCTGAGTGAAAAAAGCCAGTCCCCAAAGGTCACAGGCTATACGATGCCATTGACACAACATTCCCAAAATAAAAGATTAGTGGTTGCCAGGGTGAGGCTGGGTGGGTGTGATGGTAAAAGATCTTTGCAGTGATAGAACTGCTCTGTACCTTGACTGCAGTGATGCTTACAAAAATCTGCCTATGTAATAAAATGCCGCAGACCCACACACGTGCATGCGGACACGTGCACATGCGCAAGTGCACGCCCACTCGTGTCCACGTAAAACCAGTAACTTCTGAAATCTGAGGTCTGTGGGTTTTCACATTTAATTTCCGGGTTTTTATATGATACTATAGTTATGTAAGATGTTAACCATTGAGGAGAAATTGGGTGAAGCCTACAGGGAACTCAGTACTATATTTTGCAGTTTCCAATGAATCTATATTTATCACAAAAATGAAATGAAAAATTAAAATAAAAAAATTAAAAAGAATACTACGTAGTGTGGCATGTCTAGGTGCTGAATAACATGGTTATCTTTTATCATTAATTGTAACTGCATATTCAGTTCCAGTCTCTCAATACACTGGAACTCGGTGAGGGGAGGGACCTCACCTGACAGAGCACCTTCCCCCCTCTGCCTGGCCCAGGTCACATGCCCTGTCATGTGCCCAGTATGACAGTATCCGTCATACTGTATTCCCTGCTAGCTCCAGGGATGTGTGCTTGCATACGTTTTCATTCAACCTTCACAGAGACCTTGTGAAGTATGATTATTCCACTTGGCAAGTAAAGACACTGAGACACTGAGAGGGTCAGGCAATTGTCCAAGGTCAACACAGTTGGACAGATGAGGAGGACACAGTCTCTGCTTTTGAGGAGTTCAGACCAGGGGAGCCCACGGCAGCTCCAGATTCCCTCACTGCAGCTTTTCTCTATAACTTCCAGATCTAGCTTTGAGCTTCCCTACAAGGAGCTGGAGAGACAAGTTGCCTACCTGTGTAGCTGGAGAAGTGGGTTGGCACCACCGAGGTCCTTGGAAAGAGCATGGGGGTCACGGCAGCTAAGGATAAACAGTCTGGAGTAAGAATGGCGATTCTGAGTGGGGTGTCCTTCTTACCCATCTATAGCCACTGAATGTAGGAGGAACTGGGTAAGACTGCCAGGTCTCCTGGCTTCTTCTCTGCCCCAGGCCCTGGAGTAGGGGATCAGTGGTTGTTCACCAGGAGCTCAGATCATATGGTCATTAGGGCTGTGGGTACTCACCACTGGGTGTGGGGGCCGAGGTCCAGTGGTTGTAACCTGAAATGAGAAAAGGAGACAGAACTGGAATGCAGGCATGGGAGGGAGGTCCAAGATGTAGCCCAAATCCCACCAGCCCCTACCCCCAACAAAGACTTCAAGTCTACACAGATCAACAATTGTGATTCAGGGGTAACTCTTATCTTCTTCCTAAAAGGCTGAGAAATCAAAGATCCAGTCCCCTGTCTTCATGAGCTTACAATTTATTTGGGAAGATAAATATACCAGTGCTTCTAGAAATGGATTTGCCAACTGTGCTTTTCAGGGTCCCGAAGGGATTTTGAGATATTGACAGGAAGAAAGATGGCCAGATGCTTGAATTGTCATTGACTTCAGCCAAAGGGATATCCTCTTTCATCAGTCTAGATAAAGACTTTGTGGCCCAGACAAGTATATAAATCACAGCCCTGAAATGCCGGGATACAAAGGGAAGGAGGGGGTTTGCAAACTGGAGGGCCTATGGAGGTCCTTGACCCATCAGGGGACATTGCTCAGGTGGGAAATGATACATACGACAGCCCTGTGGCCAAGTGGAGAGTCCACATCCCTTCCTGGGGGCAGATTCTCTGCTTCAACCTATGGTTACAAAAAGTTTGCTCACCATTGACATAGAGGTTGTTCTTGTCCAGGGTAAAGGAGCCCAGCTGGCTGACACCATGGGTCTGCTGGCTCAGCTCCCAGTACAGCTTCTCTCTGTCTAGCTTAGGGCCCGCAGGGTCAGGATGGTAAGTACAAACAGCATCAACTCCGGTAGCTGTTCCCTTTTTCTCAGGCCTGGGCGGGGAATGACATGGGAAAGAGAAGGTGGGGATTCCAGACAAGGGCCTGAAAAGCCTCCCTGAGAGAGGGGAAAGTGAAAGCTGGAGGACTGGTGGGCAACCTGGAATGGCCTTGGTACTGGAGGGGGATTGGAAATGAATAGGACGACCAAGGTCCCAGAGCACAGAGGATGCAGCATCTCCAAATGCTGATGTTTGTGCTGAGATCTGAGATGAAAATCACAAAAAGTCAACATATCCACTAAAAGGTGCATGATGGAGGAGACTCAGACAAGGTGAAGAAAAAAAAAAAAAAGCAATGTCAAGTTGCTTAAATCCCAGCTCTGCTGTTCAGTTGCTGGGTGACTCTGAGTAAGTCTCTCATCCTCTCTGGGTCTCATTTTTTTCATCTATCAAATGAGCAGGACAGACCTCATAGCACTAGTGAGTGCTCAAGAAAAGATAGCTATTTTTATTAGGCATTAATAGGTCCAAAATTTTGGTGTGAATGGACTTTGCAGTGAGAGAGACTGAGCCTTTTGAAAGAGACAGTGAGGCCAAGCAGCCAGCTTAGGGTGGAGATGGGCATGAGCCTAAGCGGCATCCCAGAGCCAGAGAGATCTCAAGACCAGTGGAAAGGGAAGGCACAGCATCATGGTGGAGAATAGTGGCATCTTTGGAGCTGAGGGCATTCCATCCTCAGACAAAAGGCCAGTGACTAGGAGATCTCACACAAGAGCTAAGGTGACCCGAGTGTACACGTGGGGGGTATTCTCAGCACTTTGGTCTAGGAAAGGTCATGAATAATTCACTACATGTTCTCTGTATGTTAGTTCCTTTGCTAAGCACCTTCCATTTTGATCCTCATTACGCTCACACAACTGGCCACAAATTCTTCAATCAGAAGTGGAGTCTGTTTCTCCATCTCTTGAATCTGGACTTGGCCACAAGACTGGCACTGGCCAATGGACATTCACAAAACTGATGCAAGCAGAGGCTTAGAAAGCATGTACACAAAAGGGCTTGTCATTTCTTGCTGTTCTGGGAACTCTGAGCATGTGAATGAGCCCAAGCTAGCCTGCTGGAGGATGAGACAACATGGGGAAGAATCAAGGTATCCCAGCCAGCAGCTGACAGCAGGTGCAGGAATGAGCCTTGTTTGAGATCAGGTGAGCCAGCTTAGGCAGGAGAATCTCCCAGTAGAATCCAGAACAAATCACTATCCAGAAGAATCACCGACTAAATTTGTTGTGCAAAGAAGCAAACTGAGACACTCCAACTGATAGGTGAGGAGGCTAGGCACAGAGATGTTAAGTAACTTGGAGAGGTCACACAGCCTTGAAGTAGGGGAGCTAGGCTTGTCAGACTCTAGCTAAAACTATATAACCACTGTACATACTACTCAGTGATCCCAAGTCTACCTCTGAGAGGTCAGAAAGCAGGACTTGGTCATTGCCAGGGGACAGTACAAGGGAGGGCTGGCTAGGTATTCAGGGCAAGTCAATCGTTAGCTAAAATGTGACATAAGCAGGAGAGAGAATCATGCATCCCCTAGAGCAAGGTTTCTCAACCTTGGCATTGTACATATTTTGGGTCAGATCAATCTTGGCCCTGGGAGACTGTCCTCTGCCTTGTAGAATCTTAAGCAGCATCCCTGACCCCACTCGGTAGATGTCAGTAGCAACTTCCACCCTTGAGGTGTGACAACAGATAATGTCTCCAGACATCGTTGCCCTGGGAGGGAAATCACTCCTGGCTGAAAACTAGGGCTCTCTTGTGGTAAAGCCAGCATGACTGACTAGTTGTTTTCTTGATGGGTCCCAGAAGGATGATCTTTCTGAAAAGTTCAACCTTGTCACCTGGGAAGGAGAGTCTGAGAGGATCCTGCATTTTCTGGTTAGAAACACAATGTGACACAGACGGGTCAAGCTGTCCCTGGGATGGTGGCCCAGCTCATGGTGCCCCCCAACCCCCTGCACACTGCCTGCATGTGGACCCTGGAGTTCTCACCTGAGCAAGGTCAACCTGCAGCCATAATAGAGAGGCCCAATACTGCTGTTCTGGAACAAGGGTTTGAGCTGGGGATGAAAGATGTGCGAGTCAGTAGACAGGCCAAGGGGCTGGGCAGGACAAAAGTGGGCACTGGAGGGTAGGCATTGGTGGGACTTTCACCAGACGATTCAAGGTCCTCTCTGTGGAATTGAATAGCTGAGATCCTGGGGATCCCATGTCCTCTGTGTAGCGCAGGCTGGTGATGGTGAAGTTGAGGGTGAAGGGCACCAGAGACAGGCTCACACCTGCAGCCAGAAAGGGAGAGAGAGGGTTCACTATGACCTCTAGCTGGGATGGCTGTAAGCGGCAGATCCAGGGTTATCACCCCGTCTGTGTCAGCTTTATATCCAGCCAGACTTACAGATGGGAAGGGGCCTCTCTACGGGATAGATGCTTTCCACCTGATGTTTCTAAAGGCAAACCTTTGGTAGACATTTTGGGTGGGGGGTGGGGAGGAAAGGAGCAAAGTCACTCTGCTGCCCCCTGGGGGTGGAGATCTTGCACAGTCTTCTTTTTTTTTTAAACTTTTATTTTTTTAAAATTTTCAGTGTTCCAGAATTCATTGTTTATGCTCCACACCCAGTGCTCCATGCAATATGTGCCCTCCATAATACCCACCACCAGGCTCACCCAACCTCCCACCCCCCGCCCCTTAAAACCCTCAGACTGTTTCTCAGAGTCCACAGTCTCTCATGGTTCATCTCCCCCTCCGATTTCCCTCAACTCCCTTCTCCTCTCCATCTCTTCTGATTTTGCCATGAGAGAATGTGCGGCTGCCGGAGTGGTCAAGCCTGTTCCCTGTGTGAGTGACTTCTGCCTTAGTTTCATTAAGCCATCTTTGGAGACTGAAGTATAGGTGGACTGATCACATCTCCTGGTGTCCCCTGGATAGTCATGTGGCTCTCATATAAATATTAATTTCAACCTTTCCTTTCTTTGTCAAAAGTGTCCCCCAAACCAATGAAACAAACAAAAAACCAACTATATGGTCATCCTGGGGTTAGGGTATGAAGAATCAAAAGGCCACAGGTCTGAGTGACTATACCCTTTACAAATTTCATCTGAAGAACACTAATTGTGTGCTAGCCTTTGTACCAGGCACTTTATCTCAGTTTACCCTCACCACAATCCTGAGAGTGATCCCCAGGAAGGGCTAGTAGAAAGTCCACACAGAGTTTAGGACACTAGAAGAACAGACAAGTGTCTGATGTGGCCAAAGCTTCGAGATTGAGAGAGACAGTGAGTAGAACAGGCTGAGGCCAGGTGGCTGAGGGCAACCAGACCATGTAGAATTGAAGTTTCACAGGTCCCAGAGAGCAGACTCCTACCTGTAGAGCTGAGGATGGGGGACAGAGTTGTGGAAGATTCAGGAGAGAATGTGGAAGTCACTGGAGCTGAGAAAAAAGAACATGGGAAAAATTATTAAGTCTCATCCTGAAGGAATGTGGACAGAAGCTGTTCATTAGAATTTGGGCTTCTGTTTGGACTCAGAGCAAAACCCTGGGTGGGTTGGGGGCTCCTCTGAGTCTGTGGGTGGACACTTAGGGAGGGAGCATTGGCAGCTTCTTTCCAGAATAATGTGCTTTGGGGAATAAGGGTCCACTGGGCACTGAAATTTCACAGTCTTGAATACTCACTGCTGGTGGTAGGGGTCCAGTACCGATGGTTATAACCTGCAGAAAGGCGTAAAGGGCTGTTATAATGGATAAGAGTTAAGAAGGGTGTAGAAGGTAGACCTAAAGACAAAATTCATTAACAAACTTGCTGAGATTTATAAATGAACAATAATGGCTACATTTTATTCCATGCCCTTATGTGCTTTGTCCTTTGCAAATAATGATGAACATCATCACTGTTATTATTGCCAAAAGAAAAATACAATAGTAGAGCTGTCCCTATTTATTGGCAATGTACTATGCACCAGAAATAACACTAAACAACACACAACAAGGAAATGGGGCAAATTTACAAACAAGCGTGTTCATGTCCAAGTCTTATCCATGTCCTCTCAATCCACAAAAATAACTTAATCCTTGCTCTCTCAGCTTCCCGCCTTTCACAAAATTTTATAATAATATGACTTTGTCTTCAGCTTAGTTTCTGGGTTTTCTTTTGTGTGTGTGATGTAGAAGTGATAAAGTTGTGGCAGGTTGAGAGGGTGGTCTGTGGAGGGGAACAAGATGGAGGAGGGGGAATGTATGTGTGATTTGCAATATTAGAGGAACTTTGGAAATGGACTAGGAGAATGAACATGAGAAGAGAATTGGAGGTCAGATGGATGGTATAAAAATTGGAGTCTGAAAAGAATTGGGGAAAAGAGAATTTTTCATGAGTGTTTCTCTGAGTCATGGTCATCTTCTTTGATGCTCTGTGAGTGGTGGGAGTAAAGACTGGACCCAGAGGGACCCTGTGATTTACTTGGATTATTCCTGAACTCTCTCGTTTGGCCACCAGGACAATCCTGCATGATATGTGTATTTGTTCCATTCTGAAAATGTGATATTAAAGCCTTGAGAGGTTGCAAAGCATGTCCAGCATCACATAAAACAGAGATCTGTCACTCACCAATCCTCACACTGTTAACCATTGCTTTAAGGAAATCTCCAAGTTGATACAGAGGAGAAATAGCTAATCAAGCATTAGGTTAGATTGTTAGGCTAGAGGTCATTCATGTCCTTTACTGTCCTGAGTTTGGAGGCTTTCTCTATCTGCATGGTCTGCAGTGTTGCCTTGTGGCTAGGAACTTGGGGTATAGAATCAATCCTGGGGCTGTTTGAATCTTGACTCTGTCATGCATGATGGCTAAATTATCTAAGGCAAATGACTTCCTGTCTGAATGCAAGATGGCTCTCTCAGCAAAAATGGCTATAAAAACTCACAGGGTTTTGGGTAAGATTAATAGGAGATAATACAAATGAAGATTTTATCACAATTCATGGCACATAAGAATGTTCTGGTAAGAATTAGCCACAACTGGGGCATGTGGGTGGCTCAATGGGTTAAGCCTCTGCTTTCAGCTCAGGTCATGATCTCAGGGTCCTGGAATCGAGCCCCACTTCTGGATCCCTGCTTTTCCTTCTCACTCTGCCTGCTGCTCTCCTGCTTGTGTTCTCTCTCTCTCTGTGTCAAATAAATAAATAAATAAATCTTAAAAAAAAAAAAAGAATTGGCCACAATTATAGTTACTATTCTCACTGTTAGCATTGCTCTTAGGAGCATTGTGGCCAATGATGTTGCGTACATGGTTATTACTCATGGAGTATGTGCTCAGTATGACGTTATCTCATGAAGTGTGTATAACTCTGACTGGCCTGTGGGAACTCAGAATATTGGTTGTCAAGATGGAGAGAATGACATGGGGTGAGGGCCGGCATGGTCCCCTGCTGCCCATTTAGAAACCTTAGCCACAGAGTTCTGCATCATCCACTTTTTTTTTTAATTTTTAAAATTTCTTTTCAGTGTACCAGAATTCATTGTTTATGCACCACACCCAGTGCTCCATGCAAAATTGCCCTCCATAATACCCACTACCAGGCCCACCCAACTTCCCACCCCCTGCCCCTTCAAAACCCTCAGATTGTTTTTCAGAGTCCATGGTCTCTCATGGTTCATCTCCCCCTCCAATTTCCCTCCACTCCCTTCTCCTCTCCATCTCCCCATGCATCACCCACTTCTTTCCTTGGAGTCTGCACACTCCAGTTAGGCTCCTCTGGGAAGCAGTGGAAATAAGGAGGAAGAAAGATGTCATCCAGGAGGTGAAAAGAGAAAGGAAATCAGCTTCTCATGGTGTGTTAAGCACTAAAAAATGAGTCCCCAAGGAAAGGCTAGGTTGTTGGGGCACCTGAGTGGCTCAGTGGGTTAAGCCTCTGCCTTCAGCTCAGGTCATGATCCCAGGGTCTTGGGATCGAGCCCCGCATTGGGCTCTCTGCTCAGCAGGGAGCCTGCTTCCTTTCCTCTCTCTCTGCCTACTTGTGATCTGTCTGTCAAATAAATAAATGAAATATTAAAAAAAAGAAAGGCTAGGTTTGCATCAGAACTATATATACATTTGTACCCAGCAATTTCTCAAACTCAGCATTATGGACAATTTGGCTTCGTTAATTCTTCATGGTGGAGGGCTGTGTTATGTATTGTGGGATGTTTCGCAGCACCCCTGGTCTCTACCCACCAGATGTCCCGGGTACCACTCCAATTATGACATGCCAATATCAATATCTCCAGACATCGCCAATATCCCCCGGGGAGCAGAATCAGCCCAGTATATGGTGTACCGATATAAGGAAGCATGGGACTGGAGACCCCAGCTGCAGCACAGACACTCACCATTGACATAGAGACTGTCTCTGTCCAGGATGTAGGTGCCCAGCTGCGTGACACTATGGGTCAACTGACTCAGCTCCTGGTACAATTCTTCTCTGTTCAGCCTGGGGCCCGTGGGGTCAGGACGGTAGGTGCAGATGGCATCCACTCCAGTTGCTGCTCCATCCTTCTCAGTCCTAGGGTGATGGGACATGGGAATAGAGGCCTCCTGAGATGTGGGAGACTTATGTGCTTCATTCATCTCTCACCTTCAGCTTGCTGCCCCCGGCCCCAGCCTTGGTTTGATGATTTTTTTTTTTTTAACTGGATCTTGTCTGGTTCCTCATATGTATTCTTTTCTGGGACCTTTTCATCTAGGATGAGCCAAACATGTGGAGCCAAACATGTGGAAGCATCCTGGACCTTCCCCTTTCTTTGGTCACCCCCCCACCCCGCATCCAAGCAACATCCAGGTCCAGCTCAACATCTCACTGGTTTCCCCACCTCTTGTCCCATCCTCACATCAAATTTTCTCATCCCTGTACCTACCAATGCACTACTTAAAATAAATGACATCACATCAAAGCTCTGCTCACAACTCCATGGTTGACCACAGATCTGAGAGAGATGCCACCCCTTGAAATACCTTTGCCAAAGTTTCTTCTGGCAAATGCTCATTCAGCTCAGGCATTACCTTCTTAAGACTGTCTCCACTCAGCTCCCTCACAATGAGCTAAAAGTCCATCCTGCAAGTTCCTATGACCTCCACATAGTGCTTTATCATTGTACTAATCCTGTTCCTATTATGGTTTTAAGTCCATATGGCTGCTGTCCTCCCTATACTGTGGGTACCTTGAAGGAGGGCCTGCGACATTGGTGCCCTTAGCACCTGTCATAGGGCATGGCCTCAGGTAACTCATTTCATGTCTGCCCAATGAGTCAGGGCTGCCCTTTCTGGCCAATGAGTATGAATGTTCCATGGCTCTGCTTCTCCAAGTAATTTAAGACCTTTATTTGACAGCCACCTCTTTTAGGAAGCCCTCTCTGATACACTCAGGCAGAGGGCATGCCACCCATCTGAATTCCTGGAAGGCCCCAGTCATTTATGATTCTTCTAGTTGCTATGTTCAGGTCTTTTCCTTGAGGTGAACTTGTCTGTGACAGTGCAAGCCTTCATGTTGTAAGGGAGGGAAGTCTCACCTGAGCAAGGTCAGTCTGCAACCAGAGTACAGTGGGCCGATACTGGTGTTCTTGAACAAGGGACCAAGCTGGGGAGGAAGAAGAGAGAGGTGAGCAGGAGGGCCTGAGATGACTGGGCGGGGGGGCAGGGTAAGGACAAGGCAGGCCGGGGAAGGCACTGTCGGGCTCTTACCAGGCGATTCAGGGCCCTCTCAGTGGAGTTGAACTTAATGGAGCCTGGGCGCCTCATATCTGGGGTGCAGAGTAGGTTGGTGATGGTGAAGTTGAGGGTGAATGGCACCAGGTCAGGACCCACACCTGCAGCTGGAGGGAGAGAGAGGGGAGACCCATCACAGTCTTAGCCCTGACCTGTACATTAGAAGGAGGAGACTAGTGCTGTCTCTCTGTCCATAGTATCTAGTAGGTGAAGCCTGAGATATCCTATCTGGGATACCTTCCCTCCTCAGCTAGCCAAGGGAGGAGAACTCCATGTTAGCTGTGTCATGTCAGCTCAAAAGGAAACCTCAATCTGCTCATCTCAGAGTGTCCAAAGGCTGACCTGTCATCGACATTTTGGTGGGAAGAAGGGGGGCCAAGACTTTTGTGCTCAGACCTTGGGCCACAAACCCTTGAGCAGTCAAGAAATCCAAACAGTAGTTATTTCCATGAAGGAAGTGATCATAGAGATAGAATAGAGATTAGATCCCATCTATGTGTGGAATTTCCCCATCTATGTGGGGAAATGCTACTCTATAGGAAGAGGTTTGAGCAAAAGTCTGGCTGACCTGAATCTGAAGGACAAAGAGAAATCAGGAACAGAGCTGAGTTGCCATTACAATGAGAGCAAAGGCCCTGGGGATGGAAGGATGCTTGGTCCCTGGAAGAACAGAAATGAGGCTGGTGCGGCCAGAGATGAGGGAGCAAGGGAGACAGTGGGACAGGCTGGGGCTGCATGGGCAGAAGGGTCCAGATGACACAGGCATTCCCTAACCAGAACAGGAGTTGAAGCTTCCTGGGACTCAGAGGTTAGACTCCTACCTGTAGAACTGGGAGTGGGAGGTAGAGAAGTAGGAAGTCCTAGAGAGAATGTAGAAGTCATCGGAGCTGAGGGAATGAAAGAATACAGCATGAATATACATTATTGGGCCCAATCATGAAGGAGTGAGATGATGAGAGGACAGTGCTGTTGACAGGAGCTGGCATCTCTAGTGGGTGGTCTGGAGCTGCTCTGGGGCTGAGAACCTGGGGGATGGTGGGTACTTCCGCCCCAGTCCCTGGGATCCGTTGTAGGGAGGAAGTGTCCTAGGGGTTCACGGACATCTGGGCCCTCATGACTTACGGCTGGTGGTGGGGATCCAGTACTGAGGGTTATAACCTGTGGAGAGAGCCAGAGAGGACGAGTAAGCTGATGGGAGGGGGCTAAGAAAAGTGTGAGGGGTATGACTTGAAACACACAACACAAATCTTCTCGAGTGCTTTCTCTGGGACTCATCAACTCATTATGAGTTAACTATCTCATACTTCAGTGCTCACATCCGTGTTGTCCTCAAGATCATCAACTGCAAAGACGATGATGAAAATACCCCTCATCTTATAGGGGTTCACTAGGGGCCTGGGACAATATCAACCTCACCAAATGAGTATAGCAACAAAAACTTTATGAGAGTGTTTCCAGCCTTATTTGTGTTTTCTCTGCCAATTAAATATAACTTTTTCCTTGGTCTCTGAGTTTTTCCTACTACCCCACTCTTCAGAGACAGCATGATCTTTGACGTAGTTCCTGGACTTCTGTAATGTTGAACTGAGATCATGAGTGTGAGAGAGTGAGGCAGACAGGCAGAGGTAGGAGTCAACCAGAGAGTATAAAGTTGTAGAGGGAAAGGGAATTGGGGAAAAGAGGGTTTGAATAAGTATGGCTCTGGATCATGGACTAGCTCCTCTCTGATGCTCTGTTAGGAATGCAAGTAAAACTTAGACCTATTTTATATTTGGTGGTATGACAGTGTTTCTTCAAATGAAACTGTTCTTTGAGACTGAACCTGGTAGAAAGAGTCCTGTGGTTTACTTAGATAATTCCAGTTTTTATCTCATTTGACCTTTACAATAATCTTAAATGATGTTTTTTAAAAATTCCATTCTAAAAATAGACAATTGAAGCCTAGAGAGGTTGTGTGGCTTGCCCAGGGCCACAGGATGAGCAAAAAAACAGGACCAAGGCTTAAAGAAAGACCTATAAATCACCCAAACCCACACTGTCAGCTACAGCTCTAAGTTATTCTCGAGGACTATTGAAATATAATACAGGTTTTAATCCAGATAGAAAGACAATGTCAAAGGCACTACAGTGGAGACATATTTAATTGAGCATTAGTTTAAATTGTTGTATTAGGGGCTCCTTGATATGCCTTTCCATCCTGAGATTGGAGGCTTGTTCTAGCTGGGTTCATCTGCAGTGTAGCCTAGTAGTGAAGGGGTCTCTTGGGGGCCTTAGAGCCAAATTAGGGTTTGAGTTCTGTTGCTAACACTCCTATTAACTATCTGATCTTGGGAAAATAGATTTCCCTGCTTAAGCCTTGCTTGCTCCTCTGTAAAATACACAAAATATACATAATACATCACAGAGTGTTGGACAGGATTTGCATAACAAAATATACACAACGTTCGGGATCACAGGCATCCCTCAACAAATATTAGCCTTTAGTATAGGTGTTACTGTGGGTTTGTTGCTAAGAGCATTGTTGAGGGATTTATTGCTAAAAACATTGCTAACAGATCTGTTGTTTGATTCTTAGGTGGGATACAGTCTGGCTGGCCTCTGGAGGATGAGTGAAGGGCCACAGGCTATCATAACAGAGAGACAGAAGCAAATCAGTCACCACCTTGGGAACTCATAGCCTATTGGGGAGGAGTGAAACTCCAACAGCCACTGTAGGCTTGCTTTACTCTCTTCCTTCCCTGATGGCTTCATGCTCTAGTTAGGTTTCTGTGAAAGGTCACTGCAATGAAGAAGACTATGCAGGGAGCCTCTATTTTCAGACCTTGGAAGTTGTCCTGTGAGCACTAGGTGTTGTATGAAAGTGTTGAATCACTATCCTGTACACCTGAAACTAATAAAACACTGTCTGTTAACTAACTGGATTTAAAAAAAAAACTTAAATAAGATAAAAATTAATACTAGTAGGGAGTTGGAGGAAATTGGAGGGGAAGATGAACCATAAGAGACTATGGACTCTGAAAAACAATCTGAGGGTTTTGAAGGGTGGGGGGGTGGGAAATTGGGTGAGCCTGGTGGTGGGTATTATGGAGGACACATATTGCATGGAGCACTGGGTGTGGTGCATAAACAATGAATTCTGGTACACTGAAAAGAAATTTAAAAAAATAAACAATTAAAAAAAATACTAGTAGGACTTAGAGACAAATTAACTGACCATGGAATGTAGTGAAGACAAATTTATCAGCATTCATGAGAAGGGTTGTAACAGAAAAGGTGAGGATAGGCAAAGGAAGTGACATCAGCAAATAAAACTTCACATTAATGAAATTTTCAGAGATATATTACCATACTGAAAGCACACAGGGTAAAATGCTAGAATCAGATCGAAACTTAGAAAGTAATATGACAATTCACCCTGGCATAGAAAAAGGTATGCTCTGTATTGTAAATCATGTGAAAGAAGAAGGTTCCTAAGAATTTCCACCCCCCAAACCTTTTCATTCTCAAAGTTTCTAATATTTAAAATGACAGGGTACAGAATAAATATTAGTTTTATTAGAAAGGAAGAAAGAAAAAGAAAAGGAAAGGGGAGGAGGAGGAGAAGGGAAGGGGAAGGAGAGGAAAAGAAAGAGGAAGAGGAAGAAGAAGGAGGAGGAGGGGAGGAAGGAGAGGAAGAAGAAGGGGAAGAAGAAGAAGGGGAAGGGGAAGAGGATGAGGAAGGAGAAGAATGAGGGAAGGAAGGAAGGAAGGAAGGAAGGAAGGAAGGAAGGAAGGAAGGAAGGAAGGAAGGAAGGAAGGAAGGAAGACAGGCTGCTTTGTCAGTGTTCTGATGGAAGAGAATTTCCCTATGAAAATTCTAGGTTGGCCCAAAACTATGAACACAGGTCCTGAGAAATTTCACTTCAAGGAGATCCCATCTGGGGCTCAGGAGGAGACTCCAATAGCAATGGAGGTACTCACCATTGACACAGAGACTGTCCCTGTCCAGGGTGTAAGGGCCCAGCCAAGCGACACCATGGGTCTGCTGACTTAGCTCCCAGTACAGCCGCTCTCTGTCCAGCCTAAAGCCTGTGGGATCTGGGTGGTAGGTGCAGACCGCATCCATTCTGGTGCTTGTTCCATCCTTTTCAGCCCTGGGAAAGGAAGGACACGGGAATAGGGATGTTCCGAGACACTTGAGGTCCGGTCACTCTTGACGAATGTACCCCTTGGTTTTTACGTTAGCGGTCTTCTTGGGGTTTCATCTGCTGTCTCAAACATATCTTTTTCTATTTTATTTGGGGATCCAGACCTCCCAACCTTAAGTGTTCTCCAGGGCTACTCTGCACCTAAGTTTCTTCTTTCATTTCCCAAACTTTTTATTAATTGGTTCATGCTCATTGTTTCAAGTACCAGCACCTAGTACAGTCCCTGTGCACACAAGAATGTAAGTACAGATAGCGTCCTCTCCAGGAGTTGAGTCCTGCTTGGGCCATAAGATTGGGGGTGTGTAGCTCCCAGGGAGAAAATGAGAATCCTGAGCCCCAGGATTCCCGGCATGTGGAAGGGAACAGCAAAGGACAGAAGACTTTGGAGGAGGTGAGTGAGGCACTTGTGACATTGGGCAAGAACCATCATGGAGCCTGAAGGGAAGACTTTGTTTCAAGTTGGTGGATCCCAAGGCTGAGGTCAGCCCCTTAAGAGCACCTTTGGAGTAGGCAACCAAGTTTAGAGAAAAACAGAAAATGAATTAAGAGGTGAGAAGGGACAATGTGGTTCAAAAATACTTAATTTTTTTATTTTTTAAAAGATTTTATTTATTTGACAGAGAGAGAGAGAGAGATCTCAAATAGGCAGAGAGGCAGGCAGGGGAGGGGGGAGCAGAGAGCCTGCTGAGCAGAGAGCCCAATACAGGGCTCGATCCCAGGACCCTGAGATCATGACCTAGGCCAAAGGCAGAGGCTCAACCCACTGAGCCACCCAGGAGCCCCTCAAAAATACTGTTCTCCTGAATTTAAGCTGAACCTACAGTGATTGACCCAAAGCAGGGACCTTACAGGAAGAAAGACCCTCTTTTTCCTTTGCCTGGGAATTCTTGCTATTGTCCATGCTATTTAAAGCACGGTTCTCAAAGTGTGGCCCAGGGACATTATTGTAATTTTTATTCTCTCAGGAGTATACTGTGAAATGTTCTCCAGAGGCCACAAAGTGAAATACTATAAATATTAAATGCAGAAGTAGATATCCTACTGTCTTTTCCTAAACCAGACATTAAAAAGATCTGCAAAAAATGTAAACAGTGGCTCTCTTCTTTTTGTGCTTTTTTGTGGGGGGGTGGATATTGCTATTGTTCATAAAAACTATGTTATTTGTGTTAACATGTGATAGATTCATTACTTTGAATAAATTAATGAGTACATATTTATAACATTTGTTTTAATTTCTAATTCAGTAAATACGAGCAAATATAACCCTCAAGTACAAAGGCTCATTGGAGTTCTGAGTCCTTTTAAGGATGTAAGTAACATGTTGAGCCCAGTGACTTTGAGCACCACTGTACTGTGGTTAACAGGAGAGACTAAAAAACTAGAACCTCGGGGTTCAAATCCCAGCTCTTCCCAAGGAAACTACTCTGAGCCCCAGTGTTCTGTTTTTACAATGTGAGATAATACTCATGTTGTTGTAAAGAAGAAATGGATGAAAACACGTACATCACTTAGAATGGGGGGGGTCGTTATCACATGGGTAATATTATCTTATTGGTTCCCCCGTCTCATGGGGAGATGGGGGCAGGTGTGGTGGGTGGAGCTCATTTAGGATGGGTTTGGTCTACAACATTCCAGGAACCTTTTCTCGTGAAGCCATGAGTAGAGGACCCACCTCTCCGGCAGGATGACCGGCACTAGCTAGATGCAGTATCCCAAGGAGAGGTCATAGGTTGTGACATGTAAGGAAAGAATTCTGAGCCCACTGACCTCAGAGGACACCAAATGGGAACAGGCAGAGAGGAGAAAACAGGCCATTTCTGTAGGGTTCAGGTCTATTTAGGGCTTTTAAAATTGCAATATATCCTAAAAAACAACACTTGGTTTGTTTTCCCCTTTGGTTCTACGGAACATCCTCTGGGAAGGTCCCTATCTCTTTTCAAGGAATATACTGCAGAATTGCAGTGTCCAGAGTTTATCCCCAATAGGGTAGATAGGAGCTAGGGCAGGGAGAGTGTCAGGGATTCTGGGGACATTGTTGGCAAAGATACTACACTGGCTAATACTATGAGATCCCACTGAGTGTTCACAATTGGCCAGGCATTGTGATGAATGATTAATAACCCCAAAAGTAAGGTACTAGTATTACCACTACTTTGTAGATAAAGTGATTGAAGAACAGAGAGGTTATGCAACTTGCCCAAGATCTCAGACCTAGCAAATGGGAGAGCAAGGGTTCAAACCCAAACACTTTGGATTCACCTTGATATGCTGCGTCTTGGCAAAGGCCCAAGGCTGTGATTGACTGGGATGTGAGGGAGCAAGAAGAGAGAGAATTGGGTTTCTGTAGGTGCTTTGGAGGATGCCTTACCTGAGCAAGGTCAGCCTGCAGCCAGCATAGAGGGAACCAATGCTGCTGTTTTTGAACAAAGTCCTGAGCTGGGAACAAAGGAGAGGGTGATGAGCTGGAAGGGCCAAGACTTTGGGGTGTGGCAGGCTTGGGACAAGGTAAGCATTGGCAGGGGGCTCTCACCAGGTGCTGCAGGTTTCTCTCAGTGGCATTGAATATCTCAGAGCCTGAGTTTTCCATATCCTCTGTGTAGTACAGGTTGGTGACAGTGAAGTTGACAGTAAAAGGCATCAAGAAAGGAACTGCAGCTGTGGTGGTGGGAAGAGAAAATGAGCCCAGTCCTAAGTCAGGCCTGGGCTGGAGGTGGAAGGGAAGGCTCCAAGGGCACATATTAACTCCAGCACAGAGCTGGGGTTTGGCCTAGACTGGCCTGCTGTTCAAGACCCTCCCACATAGGGTGAGCAACCATCCCATTTTTCCCAGTATGACGTGAGTTCCTGGGATGCCAACGTCCAGGTGGAAAAGTGACACAGTCTTGGGAAAACCAGGATGAGTTGGTCACCCTACTCCCACTTCTCCTTCACTCTTACCATTTCAGTACACAGTAGCATCTGCCTCTCTTCAACTTGGGGGAATGAACAGGCCCAGGGAGTACCCCCACTAGCAATGATTGATGGGAGTTGGTGGGTAAACACCCCAGCTCCCTTATTCGGCCCCCTCCCCCCGCAGAGAGGATGACTCCAGAGTTCCTGTTCTACACATTCTCCCAGGGGCCCCTCCAGCCTCCAGAACTGTTAAATTTCTATTGTTCAAGGTACCCAGTGTTTGGAAGTTCATTACTGTTGCCCTAATGAACTAGTACATCACATGACTGAGCAGTTCTTTCTCTAGGTATGCATCCCAAAGAACTGGAAATGGGCTCAGATATGTGCACACCCACATTCATAGCAGCATTATCTGCAGTAGCCAAAAGGTGGAAACAGTCTGAGTGTCCATCAACAGATGAACAGACAGATAAAATGTGGTCCATCCTTACAATGGAATATCATTCATCTGTAAACAGAAATGAAGTTCTGATTTCTGATACACACTATGACATAATGACATTGTACTCAGTGAAATAAGCCACACACACACACAGACACACACACACACACACTGTGTGATTCCACATATACGAGATATCTAAAATAGGCAAACTGACAATAGAAGTGAATTAGAGTTACCAAGGGCTGAGAGGAGTGGGGAAGGAAAGCTAAAATCTAATGGGTACACAGATCCTGTCTGGGGTGAAAAAACGTTTTGGAGAAAGATAAGATAATATTTATACAACACTGTGAATGTAATTAATGCCACTGAACTGTACATTTAGAATAGCTAATTTTATAGTGTGTGTGTGTGTGTGTGTGTGTGTGTGTGTGTGTGTGTATATATATATATATATAAAATATTTTACCACAGTAAAAAAAAAAGTCATTCTTACCTGTTTCTGAAGTCATACTCAGAGAGGTCATGGTGGATGTCCCAGGTGAGGTCTCAGGGACAAAGGGACTTCCTGCTGATGTACTGAAGGTGGTTGTGTTCTCTGCCATGATGGGGCCTGAACCTGTAGCAGCTACATTGGTGATCTCAAGAGTTGTGGTTTTCAGGACAGTGGTTGAACTCAGTCCTTCTCTGTGACCAGTTTTCGGTGGTGTTGGGGTCTCTGATGCTATCAGAGTCACAGTTTTGGACAATTCAGGGAGTCCAACTGAAGTCACAGGTGGTGAGGGTTCACCAGTGGTTGCAGGGGTACTGACAGGCCCAAGAACACCAGGAGTCAAAGTTGGGATACTGGTGCTGGCATTTGATGGAGGGCTGGGGGCCAGTAAGCCTGTGGTTTCCAGTAAAATGGGGGAAAGAGTTGAGGTTGAAACAGCTGTGCTGACGTCTGTGCCAGGATGGGTGGAAAGTGAGGCTGTTTCTGCAGGAACACCAAGTGAGATAGTTGGACCTAGATCACCTTCACTGGTCTTGGTCACAGGTGTGGTGAAGGATGTTATTTCTGCTGGACTGGGGGAAACAGTCTGAGTTGGAAGAGCTGCACTAATCTCCAGCTGAGGCCGGATGGATAGTGAGGCTATGGTCTCTGGTAAGTGAGGAAAAGCAGTTGAACTAGGAAAATTCGTGATTGTTTTTGTACTGGATTGGGTGACCAATAAGGCTGTGGTTGCTGGTTCACTAGGAGAAAGAGTCAGACTTGGAATAGTCATATCAGCATCTGTCTCAGAACTAGGGGCCTGGGAGGTCCCCATATCTGGTACACCAGGGGAGATGGTTGGACTTGGAACAACTGAACTGACTTCTGCCCCAAGACTGGTGGCTATTGAGTGTGTGGTACCTGGTTCACTTTCGGAAAAAACCAGAGGTGTTGTCGGGACAGAGGTGTTTGGGCTGGTCTCTGCAGAATGGGTGACCAATGAGACTGTTATATCTGGCTTATGTGTAAAATCAGTCTGAGTTGGAACAGCTGAACTGGCTTCTGTCCCAGAATGGGTGACCCATGAAGCCGTGGTCTCCAGTTGACCTGGAGAAACAGTCAGAGTTGTAAAACTTGTACTGACTTCTTCCCCAGTACTGGTGACCATTGAGGTCACCAGCTCTGGCACAGTAGAGGGGACAGTTGGAGCTGGAATGGCTGAACTGGTCTGTGCCCCAGAATGAGTAACCATCATGGCTGTGGTCACTGACTCCACAGGAGAAAGATTCAGAGTCGAGATAGCCATACTGGCCTCTTTCTCAGCACTAGTGACCTGTGAGGTCACCATATCTGGTATACCAGGGGAAACAGTTGGAGTTGGAACAACAGAACTGACTTCTGCCCCATGGCTGGTGGCCACTAAGGGTGTGGTATATGATTCACTATGGGAAACACTGGGTATTGTCCTTGGAACTGTAGGACTGGTCTCTGCAGGATGGGTGATCAATGAGACTGCTGTTTCTGGCTCCCCAGGGGAAACAGAAAGAGGTGGAGAAGCTGAACTGGCTTTTTTCTCAGAATCGGTGACCCATGAGGCTGTGGTCTCCAGTTCATGCAGTGACTCAGTCAGAGTTGAGAGAGTTGTATTGGCTTCCGCCTCAGAACTGGTAGCCAATAAAGTCACCAGTCCTGGCACAGTGGGTGAGACAGTTGTAGCTGAAGGTGAACTGATCTCTGCTCCTGGAGTGGTAGCTGTTGAGAACGAGATGTCTGATTCACCGTGCGGAGTTATTCTGGAAACAGATGTGCCGGTCTTTGCAGAATGGGTGACCCATAAGGCTGTTGTCTCTGAATCATGCGAGGAATCAGTAAGAGTTAGAAAAGTTGCACCGGTCTCTGCCCCAGAACTAGTGACCAGTGAGGTCCCCACCTCTGATACACCAGGGGAGACAGTTGGAGTTGAGATGGAAAAACTGGTCTGTGCTCCATTATGATTAATCCATGAGACTGTGCTTACTGGTTCACCAGCAGAAAGAGTCAGAGGTGAAAGAACCGTACTGGCACCTGTCCCAGAACTAGTGGCCTGTGAAGTCACCATGTCTGGTACACCAAGGGAGATAGGTGTAGTTGGAGCAGCTGAACTGGCTTCTGTCTCAAGGCTGGTGGCTGTTGAGGGCATGCTGTCTGATTCCCTATGGGAAACATGGGGGGTTGTCCCGGGAACTGTTGGGCTGGATGTTGCAGGATAAGTGACTAAGGAGACTGTTGTATCTGATTCATGCAGGGATTCAGTCAGAGTCAAAGAGGTTGTACTGGCATCTGTCCCAGAACTAGTGACTTGTGAGGTCACCATATCTGGTACACCAGGTGAGACAGTGATTGTTGGAGTGGCTGAACTAGCTTCTGCCCCAGGAGTGGTGGCCATTGAGAGTGTGGTGTCTAGTTCACTTTGAGAAAAACCCAGAGTTATTCTGGAAACAGGTGTGCTGTTCTCTGTGGAATGAGCCCATGAGGTTCTTGTATTTGGCTCACCAGGGGAAACAGTCAAAGCTGCAACAGTGGAAATGGCTTCTGTTCCAGCATGGGTGACCTGTGAGGCTGTTGCCTCTAGTTCGTCAGTCAGAGTTATAAATGCTGTACTGGATTCTGCCTCAGAATTGGTGACTGGTGAGATTTCTACCCCTATTATACTAGGGGAGATGGTTGGAGTTGGAATGGCTGAACCAGTCTGTGACTCAGGGTGTGTAATCAATGAGACTGTTGTATCTGGCTTACCAAGAGAAATAGTCAGAGTTTGACCATCTGGGCTGGTCTCTGCTGCAAAACTAGCATCCAGTGAGGTCACCAGCCCTGGCTCACTAGGGAAGACATTTGGAGTTGGAGTGGATGAACTGCTCTGCACCACAGGATGGGTGACCCATGAGGCAGAGGTCTCTGGTTCATCTTGGGAATCAGTTAGAGTTGAAATGACCATACTTGTCTCTGCCCCAGGACTTGTTACCAGCGAGGTCACCATTTCTGGTACACCAGGGAAGACAGTCAGAGTTGGAACAGCGGGACTGTTCTTTGCCCCAGAACTAGGGACCAGTGAGGGTGTGGTTTCTGACCCTCTATTGAAAACAGATGAGGTTGTCCTGGGAAGCTCTGTGTTGGTATCTGCTCCAGGTCTGGTGGCCAGTGAGGCTGTCATCTCTAGAACATCAGGGGAAACATCTGGGGTTGTAAAGATCGTTCCTCTTGTGCTTGTGCTGGCCATTTTACCTGATGTCCTGAGGAGAGTCAGCATTCCGGAAGTGGGAGTAGAGACTGTAGTGGTCAAAGTTGCTGTAGAGGTGGTCTTCAGAGCTGTGATTTCTGCGATTTCTGTCCACTCTGTTGGTGGTCCTGTGAATTGGGGGATGGACACACAGTTTGGACAAAATGATTGCCACTTATCAGACTGGCAAGGGCTTATTTTTTTCTCCAAATGAGGAAAGGGAGAGAAATGTCTCTGCCTGAGATATGCATGTAATGCTTCTGAGATGGGGAGAGGAATTGTCATTGACCTTCTCGCACCTTTCCCTTCTCCTCTTGTGCAGTAACTCTGTGAATTCTTAACCACTCCTTATTCCCAAACATTGTCTGTACTCTACAGCCCCTAAGCCTTTGTTCAGGCTGTTTTCTCTGTCTGCCTTGTCCATCTTTCATCAGATTCCTTACATTCCGCCCTTCTAGAAACCCTAACTCAAAACTTTCACAAATCCATGTCAGAATTCATCTCTCCCTTCTCAATATTTCCTTACCCTACTGTCTGAATCTGCACCATAGCATGCCTCACAGTCTGCTTGGTAACAGCTATTACTAGCCAGAAGACTGCTTGGCATATAGTAGGTGGTCACAAATATTTGTTGAGTGATTATGTGAATGAATGGTTACATGGATGGATGTATACAGAGACAGGTCTCTGCGGGCTTAAGAGAGATCATGTGTCATTGTGCTTAAGAGCTTGGGCTCTGAAGAAGAAGGTAGACCTGCACTTAGCTTCTGGCTCCTATGCTAACTGGATGTGTTACCAAACATTGCTAGATTTCCATATTCTCATCTGTGAAATAGGTATAAGCACAGTGGCTATCTCAGAATGCTGATAATAATGCACCAAACCCAATGCCTGCTGGCTTGCAATATACTACCACCGCTACTTCTATTACCTGCTGTTACTGCCATTACTACTGTCACTGCTAATACCTACCATTACTTCTGTTACTGCTCTTCCCACCCAGGACCATTGTTACTACTGCTACTTTTACCTACTGTCACTGGAGTTATTACTACTGTTTCTACTACTACTACTATGACTCCCTTTTTGTATTTCCACTACAAAATAAGTGTTTGCTGAGTCATATTTGCCAGGAACCATGCTAGACCAGTATTAAAGCTGGCCAAGGTGCCTGGAATTCAGACTCTGAAAATGAGTAAACTTACATTGGCTGAGAAGCAACTACTGACTGGAGGTTCAAGTAATGGTAAATAAAACACATTACCCTTTAAAATATATTTTAAAAAATGGTCCCCAGAAAGGAGGGAGAACCACCAGGAGGATTCTCTATAAAGACCCCAAAGCCCACTGGCACTTGATCCAGGGATAAAATAAAGAGGATTTAGACTCTGATGGGGGAGTGATTCCCTCTTTTGCTAAGACTATCCTGAACTCTCACATTTCCAAGAGTGGACATACTGAAATGCTTTATATGTATCTGGCAATGAGGAGTGGAAGAGAGAGGAGGGGGAGGAGGGACATCTACAAGCACCTAGCATGATTTATCTCTTTGATCATCACCAGAACATTGAATGTACATTATATTATTCTTGTGGTTTCATAGAAGAGAAAGACAGATGCTCAGAGATCTTTATCTGCCAAGGGCACACACTACTGACTGCTTGTGTGGAAATCTGAACATCATTCTGTCTTGCTAAACCAATCCTCTCCAGCACTGTAATATATCACTCCCTAACTGAATCTCAGGATTTTGTGGGGGCCAGGATAAAAAGAGAATGATGTAAGGAGAAAATATTCATCTGGAGAGAAGTTCAAACAAAAATTTCCTAGTTCAGGTTCTCAACCTGGGGTGATTTTGCTCCCAGGAGATACCTGGAAATGTTGGGAGACATTTTTGTTCATTGCAACTGTGTGTGTGTATATGTGAGGTGCTATTGGCATCTGGTGGGTAGAGGCCAAGATACTGCTAAGCATCCTATAGTACACAGGACAGTCCACAAGAAATTATTTGCCTGATAGGGCTGAGGCTGAGAAACCCTGCTCTGTGTAGAAAGGAGTCAATGAGGACTGTTAGCCATCTAGATATTGGTCACCACCTGAAACCCAGTGACTCATTTCTTGGTGAACTGATGTAGCCAACCCTATCTATGCCCTACTTATATCCCATATCGTGACCCTAGTGGGGTCCTGATGTGGCCTCTGTGACCCCACACCTAAGAGCTTGGGGAAGGGGGTAGGCTGGAAGTGTTGAGGGTTATTACCCTAGGATCAAGCGTCCTACAGCCAACAATAGAAGAGAGTTGGATTAAAAAAAAAAAAGTGCCATCTACTTTACTCCTCAGATAGAACAACACTAAAAGATTTTATTTATTTGAGACAGAGCACAGAGGGAGAGGGAGAAGCAGACTCCCCACTGAGCAGAGAGCTCAATGCAAGCCTCCATCCCAGTACCCTGAGATTATGACCTGAGCCAAAAGCAGATGCTTAACCAACTGAGCCACCCAGGTGCCCAACACTGACATGTTCTATGCTGTCTCCCAGAGCTTCCCAGTGGGACTGACGCTGTTGCCCATAAACACAATTTGCATTGACTTCCTTTCCTTGTCTTCTCCAGTGCTTCCTGGGACCATCCCCCACCTGAGACAAACCATTTGCCCCATACCCTTAACTCAAGTCTGCTTCTGGGGGATTGAACCAAAGATGGCTGGGTCACAGGATAAGACTAATCATCTGACTGTGGTGTAGGGGTTAACTGTCTAAAACCTGCATGTTGCAGAAAACTCCCAAAATGTATAATAGTCTGAGCTCCAAAAATCTTGGGAATAAATTAATGGGTATGGGGAGCTTTACCTGTTAACCCCACAGTGAGGAGAACCCCTTGCTATCTATACCTGTACCTCTTAAACTCTCAGGCAGAACAATCACACTGAGAAATGTTAGCAGATGCCTTTTAGAGAGAAAGATTATGGCAGCCAAACAATTGTATAAAACTCTGGGTTGGAATAAAGTTAAGCAAATCGTTTTACAGTAGGTTTTCTCAGAGTCTTTAATATGCTTATGCATATTACGGTTCTTTAGGAAGGAGCAACACGTCTGCCAAATCTATTTATTTATTGATTGATTGATTGATTTATGTTTTGCCTCAAAATTCTTTGTCCTTTTGCTAAAGGATATCCAAGCATTACCAAGCCTTAGGTTTCCTGAATGCTGTTTTCTGCCCGTGTCTCCAGTATCATTTCCTACCACCCCATCCTTCTCCCTCATACTTTAGCAAAGGCAAGTTATTTGTATCTCCCAAATGTTTTCAGTATTACCCCCTCTCTGTGCCTTTGTACGTGGCTGTTCTCTCTCTCCAGAATGTCTTCATCAACTCCCTTTGTCTTTCTGGTAAATCCCTAGTCCTCCTTTCAAACCCGATTCAGATATCATCTTCCTCATTAAGCCTTCCTTCTATAGTTCAAATACATCTTCATTGCATATGTTTAAAGTTGCATCATAGTTATTCTGTTCCTTTGTTGCTTCCCTGCTGGTCTGAGAGCTTCATGGATATAGTGCCCAAGTATTTTCATCTGTTCATCCTCTGCTTATAACAGTCTCTAACACAGAGAAAGCGATTAATAAGCATTTTCAGAGTTAAGTTAAACTGGGTCCCATTTGTGGAACTGACATAGCCAACCCTGAACTAAACTCACTCTGCATGTTATGAGGAAAAGAAAAGTGGTCATGTCCACTTGGTAACCATTAGACAAAGATCCAGCTAAGACAGGAAGCCCACGGACACCGCACATGGTTCTTCCTCTAAAGAAACAAACAGTTCCTCTTCCTGGAAGAGGAAGTAAGACCTCAAGTGAGACTACTGGGAAGTAAGCGAAGTTGAACCTACCTTTTGGACTAGCAGATGATGTGAGTGCCACAGAGACATGGGCTGGTCCTGTGGCTCCTCCATGGGCTGCCTCATCGGGTTTCTTTGTGATTTGCTCCACAATGCCATCAGTCCCTACAGGTGAGGGTGGAAAAGAAACCTGGGTTAATTCATCTCACCCAGAAGAGTACTGTCCAAATGGATCCACTTAATTGACTATACAACTCAATTCTTTTCAAGTCCAGCTGTATGGGATGGAGCCAGGGCTCTGCGCCACAAATGGCCACCTGTGTCCATTGACCCACTCGTCCACCTATAGATTTGTTCATCTTTCCTTCCATCCATCCCTATATCTACCCATCCATCCTTCCTTCTTTCCTCCTTTCTCTAAATCCATCCTCCCTTCTACACATTTGCTCTCTCTTCTTTCATTTATCTGTCTTTCCATTCTTTCTTTATCCCATCCAACCACTCTTCTACCTTCTTACCCTCTTGCACATCACTTGTTTATGGAACACCCATGACTCAACTACTGAGCCACAGGTTAAGACTTGGATCAATACCTATTAATGTGTCTAATTTTATTGTGAATTGAGAGGTAACCAAGTCATCTTCCTATAGATACTGGCTAGCAAAGCAGGTACTAAATGAGTTAGAGGACTTCCCTGCACTTGTCTCCCAAACAAAAGTTGGGGGCAAATTCAACTTTTCAGAGGAATGAAAACCTCAAGAGGTTCCCTTCCTCATCTATGGATCTCTTGGAGGTGATGTGCCTCCCTCTAGGCCCCCAGCCCTTCCCACATCCCACAGGTACTTTGTGCCATCATTTTTCTTTGCTCATCTTTTTCTTTTGCTTTTGACTCTGCTTTTGACTCTGCTTTTTTCCCTTGCTTTTGACTCTGTCCTCAATATAAAAACACACTCAGTTCAAAGTGGGTATCTCCCCTGTATCTATGTGTAATTAGGCTGTAGTTTTAGTTCTTTTCAATGTATACTCCCTCCCTTCCTGAGGGCCCACATGTCAAAAGTCTCACCCTACTTCAATTTGACTATCAGTATCATTTGATGGAACTGACCATTTTCTTTCCTAAAGCTCTCTCCTCCTACAGCTTCTGCAATGCCAGAATCTCTTGCTTTTTCTCCTTCCTCTCTGACCACTCCTACTTAGCCTAACTAAGAGCACAGATTTCTAGTGCCACATAGTGGAATTCTTACCACATATTAACTCTATTATCTTGAGTAAATTACTTAACCCTCTGTGTCTCAGCTTACTAATCTGTAAAATGGGCTTATAATCATCCCTTCTTCAAATTGTGTTTCAATGAGGATTAAATAACTTAATAGAATACCTCTTAACAGAGAATAAGTGCACTAGAAAAAGTGTGTTGTCATTAGCATTATCACTGGCATAATCATAGTAACGTTAGAACATCTATCATGGTACTGGAATCATCTACTTGCTTATTTATCTTTGTTTCCCTAATGCCTAGTCCAATGCCTAGAACTGAGGCTAGAGCAACAAACATCTGCTAAAAGAATTTCTGTGCAATTATAAACTTCTAATTAACTCCTTTATGTCTCTCAGGAAAAGAGTCATTTCCTATGAGCCACTAATAATGGGAGTACAGGAGCTGCGGGACCTTACTTGTCAACTGTGTTGCCTGTGAAGGAAGTTGAGAGGCATGTGTCACTGTTCCCAAGTGAATATGCTCTGTCATTCTGGTACCCATAATGGATGATAAAGATGTCCTGACTGGCTCAGTCCATGTCTCCAAAGTACTGGCCACAACCAAGGGTCCTTTGGCAGTGCTCCTCTCTGCCGCAGTGTTGGTGCCCACCATACGTTGGGTAACGAGTGAGGAAGTAATCCCATGGGGGGCTGGGTTGGTTGAAGAGTAAGCAGTAGTGAAGGTTGAAGAGGGGAATGCTATTGAAGCTGATGAAGGCAGGTTCTCTGCAATGGTGGGCATAGCATCTCCAGGGTCTGGTTCTGTCCTCCAATATGGACTGGTTGAGAAGGTGGCTGCGCTGGCTCCTGGAACTCCAGATGAAGCTGTAGACAAAGAAGGCACCCATGTGTCAGTTGAAATGGTCTCAGCTGAGGACAGCATTACTGTACTCAGGTGAGAAGTCTTTTCTGATACAGACATGGAAAGCCTGGGTTTTGGGAAGGAGGTTCTGCCAGCAGACCCTGCAAAAGAGAGAAGCACAACAGGAAGAGAGAGGTTTCCATTGAAATTTCAGCACACTGCTAAGACAAACGCTGGTCTGAAACTCATATTTTCAGAGAAGAGGTGACATCAGTCTTGGAATATTTGAAAACATGAATGGGCAGAAGAGATAAAAGTGTGCTTATGGGAGTGACTGGATGAGAGTCCAGGGATGTGAATGACTCTAGTCCTCTAGAAGAGAGATGGGAAAGTGGCCCTGCCACAAAGTTTTAGGGTCAAAGAAGATAGGTACTGAAGTGAAAATAGGGGTCACCTCCATGGAATAGATAGTATCCATTGGCTAAGAGGCTCTGCATGGGTCACAGTGAATGGGGACAGAGGATGGTGCCTCATACGTACAAGAGCTATTCTGTGCATTACTTACAAATACATACATGAAAAATTTCACACTCTTTTTATCTGCACTAACATCAAAGGACGCCACTGTTAGAAAAGTAGAGGAAAAACAATTGTGGTTTCAAAGACTATATAACAAAGAAAAAACTGAGCTTTATAGGGACAGAGATGAGAAATGAGGTCAGGAATGGGAAAGGTGTTTAATAACTTATGCTGAGAAGGAATCAAAAGAGAGTAAGTTGGTGGAAGGCATCACTGCCAGAAAAATGAAGGGCAGAGAGATCCTGAATTGCTAAGGAAATGTTGAAAAAGGAAAACAAAACTGGAGGCATCACGTTGCCTGATTTCAAGCTTTACTACAAAGCTATGATCACCAAGACAGCATGGTACTGGCACAAAAACAGACACATAAGACCAGTGGAACAGAGTAGAGAGCCCAGATATGGACTCACAACTTTATGGTCAAATAATCTTTAACAAAGAAGAAAAAATTATCCAGTAGAAAAGACAGTCTCTTCAATAAATTGTGCTGGGAAAATTGGACAGCTATGTATAGTTGAATGAAACTTGACCATTCTCTTACACCATACACAAAGATAAAAACTCGAAATGGATAAAAGACCTCAATGTGAGGGAGGAATCTATCAAAATCCTAGAGGAGAACATAGACAGTAACGTCTTTGACATCAGCCACAGCAACTTTTTTCAAGACATGTCTCCAAAGGCAAAGGATATAAAAGCGAAAATGAGCTTTTAGGACTTCATCAAGATCAAAAGCTTCTGCACATCAAAGGAAGCAGTCAACAAAACAAAGAGGCAATCCACAGAATGGGAGAAGATATTCACAAATGGCAGTATAGACAAAGGGCTGATATCCAAGATCTATAAAGAACTCCTCAAACTCAACACTCAAAAAACAGATAATCACATCAAAAAAATGGGCAGAAGACATTAACAGACACTTCTCCAAAGAAGACATACAAATGGCTAACAGACACATGAAAAAATGTTCATCAGTATTAGCCATCAGGGAGACTCAAATCAAAACCACATTGAGATACCACCTTACACCAGTTACAATAGCCAAAATCAACAAGACAGGAAACTAGTGTTGGAGAGGATGTGGAGAAAGGGGAACCCTCTTACACTGTTGGTGGGAATGCAAGTTGGTGCAGCCACTTTGGAAAACAGTGTGGAGAGTTCTCAAAAATTTAAAAATAGAGCAACCCTATGACCTGGCAATTTCACTACTGGGTATTTACCCCCAAAGATATGTATGAGTGAAAAGAAGGCCCTATGCACCTCAATGTTCATAGCAGCAATGGCCATAATCGCCAAACTGTGGAAAGAGCCAAGATGCCCTTCAATGGATGAGTCGATAAAGAAGATATGGTCCATGTATACAATGGAGTATTATGCTTCCATCAGAAAGGATGAATACCCAACTTTTGTATCAACATAGACAGGACTGGAGGAGATTATGCTGAGTGAAATAAGTCAAGCAGAGAGAGTCAATTATCCGATGGTTTCACTTACTTGTGGACCATAAGAGATAACACAGAGGACATTAGGAAAAGGAGAGGAAAACTGAATTGGGAGAAACTTGAGGGGGAGATGAATGATGAGAGATTGTGGACTCTGAGAAACAAACTGAGGTTTTGGAGGGGAGGGGGATGGGGGGTTAGGTGACCCTGGTGGTGGGTACTAAGGAGGGCATGTACTGCATGGAGCACTGAGTGTGGTGTATAAACAATGAATCTTGGAGTACTGAAAAAATAAAATAAAATTTTAAAAAATAATAAAAATACAAAAAATAAATAAGGAAATTAAAAAATAAAAAAAAGAGAAAAGTTCGCAGAAAGAATAAAAAAACTAGCACATGTTAACTCTTTGCAAACATTTATGATACT